CGAATATACTTACCAAATGATCCGATGCGGAATTCTTCAACAGTTCCTCGAGCCATGGCCAATATTGGAAGATGTGCAAAAGGAACTGGATACTACTGATCAGACTTTTGCCGCTGCATTGCATTGGTATGACGAACTTTCACAAGGTATGACTCATATGACCATGTAAAATTCCATAGCTCAGCACCTAATGAAATTATACAATAGCCCGCGAGAGTTTTGGCACCCTACTGCACGAGTTACGTAAACGACGTGATATACTCCGTTCAGTCTTGCGAGTCACTGCAGTGGATAGGCCGACCAAAAGCTTTCTGGCAGCCGCGGAGTTGTCAAATGTTAAGTCCCATGAAATGCAGCCAATACCAGAGGACCCTGAAGGCTACAAAATTCTGGACACCAATGTTCATCGACGGGATGAACACCAAAATAGCCTTAGCTGCCAGTCGCAAGTCCCACAGGATTTGGCAGGACGTATTTTAAATGAAAGCCCTCGGGTAAAGCAACTTTATTCATTGGAGCAACAGGGAACCATGTCCAGTCATCAATTGGCTGAGGAGAATAACTTCTTTTCAAACCAGCTAAAAAGCCAGAAGGCAAATCCATCTAATAGTCGCCGATATTATATGCCAGGCTTCAAGTCATATTCAGGGCAGATTTCGAGACCAAAGAGGAAGAACAAGGCACGGTAATCGCTTCGGGATTCGTGGTTGATACCTACCATTCATGTCGTGGCGTGAAGTAGCAGACATAGAATGGCGAGCATTAATTGGTAGCAATGCACATTTTTACAGTTACAGTATTGTAAACAGAACATACTTATATATTAGGCTTTACTGCCTACGATCTACCTGTACCTGAGGAACAATACCTTCAGTCTATGTAGTACCCCTTGGGCTTTTAGGATAGGTGAGGTGAAAGTATAATGTTTTTGAATAATTAGTGTTTTCCAGTGGCTAAGGTTTGGTAGTATCGGTGTTATATATTCTTATATTCAGCTACATTCTAAATTTGGGCTTTAGTAAGTATGGTTTACTTCCACACTTAGGCCCGGTACATAGCTCACATAGTATCCGCATAATCTCTGCTTACAGCACCACATAAAAAAGCTACAATCAAGCCAATGTTCATGGACTGTTCTTATACCTCCTTGGTTGCCAACCCAATACTCTCTCGCCCACCAGAAATGCGTCAGTTGGAAAAAGCAAATTCCGTAGACTGCCACGCAAGCTGTTCCGCCCGAGGATTCCCTGACCGACTAAACAGAACTCTCATCAGGTGCTGGGTTGCTACATTCCTTGCTCTCCAATCCTTCAAGAGTGCTCACGGTGTAATGTACAGAAGTCCTTTTGAACTTATCTATTCCACAGGCTAGCGCTTTGGCAATGGAGCCAAAATAACGAGAAGAGTATGGAATTGTGAAGCTGATTTTGCACTTTGTTGCAACTTACCACGGTCACCGCGCTACAGGACTTCTGCCCCTGTTGGACATAAATATAATAATTGATTGATAGAAAAAGTAAAGACATTCCTTGGCTATTACATATGAACGTACGATGTTCCAGCTCTATGTACTATGTTTTCTTTATGTCATTAATAGTCAGTATACTGAAAAGTGGCAATCTTACCGCAATCTAATCTAGCACAGTATTTTTTGACCGGGCGGCTACCACAAATGTCTAAGCGCCATCCGAAGTGTGATACGGTAACTCCATACAAGCAGCAATTATCGACCCCGGAGTTTCACGGTTGCGCAGTTATGCTTTACTTGGCATCCTGGATGATTATCAGTACATAATATATACTCGTAATTGTATTGAGATATACGGTAATTTACCGAGGCGACTCTACTCCAGAGAAAATAAATACTTGGTTCGCGGTTTGCCTTGCAGCTGCGAGAAAACCACTCCGGCCGTACCCAAATATTTTTAGGGGCATACCCTATGGGTCGTTCAGACGGACGGGAGACGAGCCAATCGGATCACTATGGAAAGGGTATGTGGATGTTCATCCATATTGCCTATCTTAGAAACAAGCTGCGGAGACGGGATAAGTGGGTCCCTACGTAGGGAAGATGTGCCAAGCCAGTCTGATCGTACTGTATTCCAGCAAGGTCACATGCATTACTTAGCCCAGAGTTTCCTAGCCGCATATTCTATGTAAACTAATATGGTATTCATCCACAGTCCTGATTAAAAATATCTTGAGATAATCCACATACTCACCCCTTTAGATGGAGAGCGTGCGTCCACTACGCCGATTGGATTGTAAAATCTATATATCAAAAAGATCAAGGATGCGTTCAGCATAATTCCCAAAGATTCACATGAATGCACTTGTCAGGCCCAATGAACACGAGCTTTTATTGCACTCAGCAGTACTTTAAGTGGATAAACCGTCGGTTGATATGGAGGGCAAGGTTATTGAAGGTGATCAAAGGGTTCAATGGAACTAATATTATGATTTAGCCGCCACTGTGATGGTCTCAGCCACTAACGAAGTACAACGACACAAACTGGATAAACACAGTTCTATCACCTTGACAGGAGCAAAATTGATCATGAACAGTGCTACTAGTTTAGCGCATAATTGGACTTCCTGGGTATCGAGGGATCAATGTATGTTTTGTGGATCATTGCGTCGAAACATGTATCTGTGGCAATACGGGAATTTGTAATAGCCTGGTGACCAGTGTACCAGAATACGTAGGAGGGAAGTTTTGATAGGGCCCACCCACTGGAGTGGTCTCTGCGGGCTGTTGACCAGGACAAGTCCAACTCTTTCTATTGGTGAACAGCGGCTAGGCACCACTAGGGTGTTCCTTCGAACTAAATATTGGCCTAATATAACCATTGGCGAGAAGAGAAAGCCGATCAGCTGCGGGATTTGGCTTGTTCTCATGCAAGCACATTTGTACGGAGTAAGTTGTTCGTACTACAACCGGAAAGTCCTATGGACAAGCCTCTTCAACTGATGCTAGACACTTTTTGACTTCTGAGAAGTATGTGGAGCTACTTCGCGAACTAAATTACTGGCTAGTAGGATGTGGGAGCAGGCAGGCTTCTACTGCGTAGGAGCTGGACGAGCTTGACTGCTTCATTGGGTTTCTCCGTTGGTCCGACCTTCACAAGGTCTCATAATCTAACACCGTGTACGAAATGATTTGCATTATTTGGAAAAAGCTTTTCTTATTACCCACTGCACTCGTATCTCTGGCGTTATTTGGCCATTTCGGAGTCTGAGAGAACTGACTTAAAGCCAGAAATCTCGACACCATGCCAACCGGGTAGGCACCCTGGAAAGACCCTTCTTTCCATGACAGCGTTTTTTTGTAAACTCACTGGGCAGCATACAGCATTTGACAACTTTCCCATTCGTTCCGGACTTGGATGGCAAGCCGTGTGTGGCATGGAGTACTATGAGTGCCAAGCGAGCCGGCGCCTCCGACGAAGGCCTATGGTTATCGTCGCATTCACGAAAGAGGGCAGTGGATTCCGTTGTTTCAGTTAGACCGCACGTAGTCAGAAGGTTCACCGAAGCGATAACATGAATGGTACATAGTCAAGAAATGCCGCCTTGAACTGGTCCTCAGCGATCATCCTTGATTCTCGCGTTTAGGCTTTTCTCTATTAGAAACTAGTCATTCCCTCGCCGGAGCTCAATTATCTCCAGCCGGTAATAGGGTGAAAGTTTAGGCGAGACAGAAGTCAGGATGAAGTGCCAAGCCAACAATTATGTTCTTGTAATAAAGCGGCAACGCTTCTGGGGGCATACGTAATCTCGTCGGCCGGCTAGGTCTGGAATTGTCTGTTGCGGGGTTTGAGCGTCCTATGACTGTATATTATTTAAGACCAGTATAGGCCCGGGTACGAACAACTCCGATACTAGAATCAGGAAGTGAATTGCATCTCCTTTTGGACTTCAGTATCTATATCTTCATCTCCCACCTCGTATCACCCGTGGATAAACGTATATCTGCATATACAGTGAATATTTATGACTAGCCTCTCAAAAATGACTCAATTACAGCACAAGGTAGGTAACTCCTTCATGACCTTGAAATCCATTTCTAATGACTTTCTTTTGCCCTTTAGGATCGAGAAAGCTCCGGCAGAAGCCAAACCGAGCCGCGTAACCACGGCCAGCTAATGGAAACGGCAAGCGGCGTTAAGCTTCCGAACTGCCTAGGAACGGATAAAGGCAAGGGCACATTCGTTAGTGGGAAGGGTTGTGCTAAGCAATGGGGCCATACTTCTATTTTCATCATGGATAGAGTGTATATCGAGCGGAGCTTGGTTGTCAATGGTTGTACCATGATTAATCCACAGACCGAACTATAGAACCAGGTTGACTATGTCCCGTCACTGGGAGCAAGCCAACGAGACACGAACTTTGGTTAGAATGTCTATAAAGCCCATTAAGTAGATATGAGAGAACCAAATATTTGCACTGCACAAAGTCGAGGGTACTAACGTCTACCATATAAGATATGTGTCTATGCATGTAGACCGGAACCATAGCTAATAGGTAGTTAGAATATTCAATATAATAGAAGCCTTTCGTTGAGCTACGCAGCAAGGTACTATTTACTGAATCCAACGGAAGGTCGGAGAAACATTCAATGTTAATCTAGCAATGGAAGCAAAGCTATCCGCTGAGGAGCATCAATTAAGACGAGGCTGGAATATACGGTCTGCATCCCGAATACCGGGAAAAAGTTCTTTATCACCATTCCGTGACCTTAGGTTCTGTTTAAGCATGAAATTCACGTACCATACTCACTAAAAAGCAACCTGGCTAGGGAATCCAGTGACAGTTGTTCCTGTTAAAGCTCCGGCCTCAAAGGTTCCGTTTCTGGTTGAGAAATGACAATGTCTCACAGAATAAAGTACTGAAGAAAGAAGGTAGCATATCTGCTAAAAGACGTAAGAGTTCTCTCGAGATACAGTGAAATAAGCCGTTGGAAATAATGTCATTGAACCATCTCTGCAGAATTACAAGGTTTACCAGATAGTCAGCGAGCGTGCGCGGTTGAACGCGTCCAAAAAGATTCCCTCATTCGTTCCATGAAACTTATAATCCTTCACCCTGTCCTCGGTTATCCAGGTGCAATCTTCATGCTCTTCGCTCAATATTATTTTTTTCTTCCACCCGCTATCCGGAAGCACGGCCAGGAATGGAAAGGAAACATGGACTTGAAGTTCCTGGTACTTGAATTTACACCATACCCTTGGCGTAAGTGGATAAAGAGGATAGTCCAGGTCCTGGCCAGCCTCCTCCTTAACCTCCCGGGCAAGAGCGTGGAAGATTGTCTTGTCCTCATGCTGACCCCCTCCACCAAGTGTATCGTACAACCCTCCCCCGCTATCACCAAGAGCCCGTAGGAACATATGGGCCTCCGCCGGTGAGGAGGGTGAGGACAGCTTGCAGGGAGCGCAACGAGTGGAGATAAAACAGGGAATATCGGAGATCATGAATTGGTCCGGTTTTCCAGTGATGTGATACTTGGATAGCTCTTCATGAAGGCCAACTGGATGCCCAATCACACGTTTCAAGGTTTCTTCTTCGATCAAACAAACCACTTCGTCGAGATTTATTTGGCTGGCAGAAAGAAGTTTTCTCATCTGCTCAGTGGATAATAACTGAGGCAAGTGTTCGGTGAGCCAATTGACGACGTACAAGCGAATATCAGACGGGTAGTGAGAGGAAGGAAAAGAAGTTTGGTCCTTTGCAGGACCACTCGGATTTGGAGGCTGGCTTGACGTGTCCATAGTCGGTATTTGGTTTTCCGGATGAGGAATCAGCATTAGCTGAGAGACTGGTAGGAAATGACTCTCTTTTTATCCGCTACCTTCGAAGCATAGAAGAAGAGCCAAAATTTTCAGGGCAAAAGGGCCAGCAGACAGTGAGTCATAGTGCAAAAGACATGTCAATCTGCATATCGTATCCTGCACATGGATGGGTATTAAGGGAGGCGGAAAAGCGAGCCGTATGAACCGAGGGAATGCTCGCATCACTCGCCAACAAACTTGGTTAGGAACAGATCCCTCACCCGAAGTACGTTCGGGGCATTGACCAACCAGGATCTTGCCTACTTTTCACCTTCGCACCAATGTCATGATAGATCATGATTTTCCGACAAATCCGATTCAGAAGAACTTTCTAAAGGATGGCCTTGGCTCCAACAGCTCTAAGCATAATAAGACTGTGGAGGTAGGTTACACATTTCGTATTTATTCTTTCGCATGACCTCTAACTTTTAATAAATATGATCTGGTACAGAGCGAGGTGTGCCTTGTGGCTGCTAGCTATGGTTCTAAATCCCGGGAATCCAACACACCTGCTTTTCTAGGGGCTGGAAATTTTATCCTTGCCAATTTGGTCTTCCTGATAATCTAGTGGCCAGTGTAAGTTATGGTGGGTCACATGGGTGGGTCCCTACGTAGGGAAACTTTCCGATGGGGCCATAACGCAACTTATACGTTTTCGACATCCTGGCTCAACACCCTTACAAACCGATTTTAACTGCGGGTAACGCGATGGAGAATACTACGCGCCACAATCAAATAGTTCGGGCCTTGGAGGTAGTTCATAACATAACAGATGAAGAAACTTTGATGTACAGCTAAGACATCAAGCCCGTGATAACGCGACTGCGAGGAAATCCCTCATTAGATGCCATGTCGTTTCTGAACAAGGCCTTGGAAAAGTTTCCACTTGTGGAAACCTTTCTCGGCAAGAATGTCGATCTGACACCAATTACCTCTCGGGCAGATTTACGGTAATGGCGATACCCATCCCGCAAGTAGGTTTCTTAGGGGCAGACGGACAATGACCCGGAGAAGTTGATTTTGCCGGTTTTGGCCAGAAGGAGTACAGTTCTTTCTATGCTTAGACAGCAAGCAACCAATGTTTCAGAGTTACTCCGAACGAGTGGCTTGCCTAAGACAGCTGGAAATCGTATTTCGGATACTAAGAAGCTGTATCCGCTCGAAGGCTCTCTCGGCTCGGGGATGTGGTTTCCTTTCATGCCAGTGCTCGGGGACCTGGCCCACGTACCACAACCAGATATTACTGCAATGGGACGAATAATGTCAGAAGATGAGCACTTTTCTGGACTCCGGAAGATCCTGTTCGATTATTCACCCCGCTTCGACCAATGCCAAGCACTATTTGACCGCCAGATACGTAGGTCAAGACACTTCCCGAACCAAGTGACTAGCTAATAAGATATGGGACAGGCACGCTTTCCCTTGCGTTTGTGCCTGCAGGCCATGAAACAATTTCCAGCAGAGGGGCCTCGTTGCACGGGATCCTGAGTTATTTGAAAGCACCCTGAAAGGCTGACATCTAGCTGCAAAGAATATCAGCTTTTACGTGCACATTCAATTGAAGATCAATGCGGGGAGAAGAGAGATAGAGATAGAAGCTACATTCCAACCAAATTTCATGACTTGTTCTCATAATCCCTTAACACGCGCGCCATACTTGAGCGAATCGAAAAAGTCTGCGGTAACCGAATCCGGTGGATTGCCATGGAGATGGAATTATCGACCACCTCAACAGAGCTCTTGGCAGGCCCTGGATTGCTAATAGTAACATATTAAACCTTTTCCTTCATATTTTTGAAGCCTTCCACCATTATCTTACAGGAATGCTGAAAGCCCTGTGATCGGCGTTTTCGCGGGGAGACTGATGTAATCCAGCTATTGAGATCTAGTTTTGAAGTTCATCAGAATAAGACAAATTTGAAAATACTCATGAAGAATTGAGGACAATTTATAGGATCCATTAATACTTTTCTTGGTAATAGTTAGTATAGGCTTTTGGTTATAGGACACTAAAAAAGTGGTGGATTTGTTTAGGTACTAGTTATGCTAGCTACCATCAATCAACCCAGACATAGCCCTTATGCCTGATAATGTCGAGAGCTGATTCATAACTGTTCCATCAGAGTTAAGGATTATGCGCAATATTAACAAATGTGTTATGTACTATGGTATTATCCCTCAGTATCAGACAAACAATAGAGTCAAATGGCCATAAATATGCCCTGTGAAACTAGCTCCCCGTGCTTAGCCAATGACCTTATCGCCCCTGCATATTCCACCCAACAATTTCTTGTCTTCTCTTGGATGGCTGCAGGTCAATATATATAGGCTCATCATTGCCTTTGGAGTTCCTGGGTCTTGGTGTGTAGCTAACGTGGGTAGGAGCATACTCAGATGACAAGGTTTGAATGTCAATAAGCTTCGTGAACCTGGAAAGCAATCAGACCTTGGACAGCATGGTATACAGAGGATACTTAACCATGTACATACAAAGAAAATGCACACTGCTCCCCCTTGGTGCCATCCAGATTGTCACTGCGAAACTCTGCGGTTTCTCCAAGTTTCATCGTCACCATGTTATTCAGGAAAAATGAAACGCCTTCCTGTAAGACACCCATCCGATGTTCCCCCAGTCCCTGCTGCACGTCCACCACTGCGTGCAAAAATTTAAATGTACCTTCTGTTGCGGGTGTGAATTTGCCTCTTGTTGCAGGAAAGGTAACACGAATATTCTGCCTATATATTCGTTAGCCTGGTAGAGGATTGATACTATTTCTAACCTGCCTTAAGTTGCATTCTCCAGCAGCTTTCAATTTTATGAGTGAAAAGGTGACTCGATCACCGAACCTCGGGCTATCTCCTTTTCCTTCCTGGTGAACATGTTTTTGGAGAGGGCTCATTGTGATTAATAGTGTGCAGTTCAATATTTAATAGAATACAAATTAGAAAACATAGGTAGAAGGACATGCATGTGTAAACCCTCCTCTATCTATGCTCGGTGTTCTTACTGAAATCCATGGTCATTTGAGCTTAATATCCTAGAGTTTTATGTGCCAGAGGTGTCATCTTTCATTGGCAAATGTCGCTGAGTACTTGCATAGTTAGTCGCCAAGGCCCAGGGTTCCAGAGCACCCATGGGTCATCTAATTCACCGACTAGCCCCATTCAAAAACTCCAGTTTGATCGGACGGCTCGCAAATGAAGTTTTATTTACGCTCTTGTCTGGCCACGCTTTGAAGTTTATCCAACTCCTCCTCATAAAAGTACCCTTCACGCCATGATTAGACCTTCTGATCCAGTTTCCCAGCTTTCCACCCGGCCAGGGCAACTGCAGTCATTTAAGTTCACCCCAAGGCATGCTGCAAGAGTAAGGATATTGGAAAAAGGTCACTATCAGCTCGTCTGCCCCCCTTACTATGGGGCCGCAGATACCCTGCATAGAAGACTGAAATGGGAGTCGTATGCGTGGTTAATGCATGTAGATATAAGGCTCTATTTATCACGGCGCGAGAACACGATTAGCTGCCTTGCGTTTCCACCAAACAGTAGATCCATACAGTATAAGATGAATACCGGTATGTACACACCATTTTGCTCCCGTGAGTAGGGATCCGGTGTATCAGATTTCCTGCCATCCCCATTGCCGCCGCATATGGTTAGCGAAGAGAGTGTTCAGAGAAAGTCTAGGACCACTGCATTCGTCTCACTGAACTCATCGTTCTGGAATCTGGAATAGGCTCATCAAGCAGCTATTACACCTGCAATCTTCATCCAAATTATGTCTAGTAAGATTATGTCTCAACCTTTATAGTGCAACACCTCCATTACGTTTTACCGCCTGAAACTAGGACGAGAAGTGAAAAACCTTGCTCTGGTCAACATTTCCCATAACACTACCAAAGCCTCCCCGGTACTAGTAGCATGTATCAGGCATCCCTGGCGTACTCTTCCTACACAGCTAGGACGATGCGTTACAGGATCCACGTAGGTATCATGGAAGTCTCTGAGTCTGCTCTAGTCTAGTACTACCTTAGAATGGGACATTTTGCCCAATCTTCCCTGCATGCGGCCGCGCACTACACAATCCGAACCATATGTAGTTCATTTATTCTATTGGACCACTGAACCCCACCTCTAGTCCAAAATTACCCAGAAAATGGGACATCTTGACCAATCTTCCCTGCAGGCGGCTGCATGCTACACAATCTGAACTTTATATAGTTCATTTATTCTATTGGACCACCTCACCCCACCTCAAGTCCAATATTACCCAGAGCATAGGACAATTTTCCCAACATTCCCTGCAGGCAGCTGTTCACCCCAGAGTACTACGCGATCCAAACTATATATAACCTATTTATTTAATTGGACTATCTACCCCCACCTCTTGTCTAATATTACCCAGGAAATAGGACATTTTGCCCAACATTCCCTGTCCTGTAATGTCAAAGCCTATCTGATCTAAGACAACTAATGGCAGGCGTTCATGTATCCTTGCTGCAGCTGATCGAGGTCTAGATTAGTACTTTTGAAATAGCTGAGCTCGCTACCTAACTGGCCGACCTCCACCTTGGGGGCCGATCAGAATGTAACCCACTAGTACTCGCGGAATGCCATTATCACTTCAAATACCGTGCGGCAAGAAGTACGCCGGACTGGACGAAATTAAGCCAGCGGCGAGCTCAAGGCTCAGAGGTCTGGTCCGCCTGATGTTTCTTATTCTTGTCTGTCGCTAATTACTTGTCCCAGATTCTCGTAACCTTTCCCACTACTCGTGCATGGAATCAATGAAATTATTTGTATTGGATCAAGTGGGGTTCCTATACGCACAAGGCATTGACATGATGCAGTAGAGTACGTAGTCACAAAGATTAATCTGTAACGCATTGACTGTGGATTGGTAGAACGCTCAGGACACCTGTATGGCACCATGTGAATGTTGCTCCTGTATTATAATTCAGGGTTGCTGATCCATCTTCTAGTGTTAATAGGGGTGCTTGGCAAATCGCCCAGTGTAGCCATACATCTAACGCTATGAAACCAACATGATACGGAGTGGAAAATAAGAATATTGCACCGCTAACAGAACCGACTTGCGTACCTTGGCCAATAGCTAAGTATAACCACGTTACTCTATGAACCCTCCACCTTTCTCAATATGCTGTTCGATTATTAGCAATATATAGTCCTGTCATATTTCTTCACTGGCTCTACGGTCTTCTCAATGGCATGCGAGCGCCAAAAAACAGTTCGCTACTTCCTTCGGGAGAAAGATATATATCTTAAATCTCTACCTGATATCTCCAGCAATATCAATCAATACAGCGCTACTATTGTCAACGTCTGTAGGAGGCAGGGAATCGGTACAGTGATTGAAAGTAAGTAGATTCTGGCGATTTCATTTCTGCTTATGTTGGATATCGAAATGTGAACATAACTATAATTGACGGACTATACTTCCTACCTAATTTCTTACAACATACTCTGTGACTTTTTCTTTTTTGGTCTTCTTCTCGAAACTAATGTGATGAGGTGATATAGATTCACTCTACGATATTATTATGTCCATAATAATGTCGGATATGCCTTGTTTACCCGGTATTTCCGTCAAGGCTCAACTTGTGGTAACCGACAGCAAAGCACATTGGATCATTGCCTTCGTCGCATACGATGCCCGCAACAAACTTGATGATTGTATGTATGCGACCTTCACAGAAGACATATTGAATTGGACCCGAAAACACCCACAGCGTATCTTAAAAACCATTGAATTTCAAGTCATTGTTCGTTGTCACAGCATCGAAGAGGTGAAACCTCATCTCTGGTATCCAGGACACATATGTTGTTCCGCTTCATGGGCGTAAGTTCAATAATGTGAAAGTTGATTTGGTCGGCCTGACAAGTTCATAGGTTTGATGTGCTCTGGAGATACGAGAATATGGGTTACATCAATGGAGAGTCTACAGAAGGAGTCTCATTTGATGATTTATTCCAGCACCTGCTCTATGACAATCCGGAATGTGTCACTATTGCTTGCTCTGATTGCAGGACCAAAACCCGAGATAGATAGCGTCAATACGATCTAGCTTTCTTGTGTATGCTGTATCAGTGACCGAAGTAGAAGTAGTCAGTTTACTATACGGAGTTTTGCCACGTCTAAAAAGAAAACATACTCTTAATTGTCAACAGCAGAAGAGATATAAGGACTGTTGTTAAACCTTGCGAGATTGGATGACTAGACCAAGACAGTGTCTCTATAAGGGTTTTGCGACGATATCTTCCGACTCAATTACAGATGAAAGGATAGGATAACCGAGATCGTGTTCCTCTGCAGCCAGTGATTCTCCAGCACGGAAAGCTTTGTTGAATAATTCAAGGTTCGAAGACTGACCCAATATGATGCCGAAACGACTGGAAATGTCGACACAGCGGGGTTTTCTTGTGATAGGCATGATTGCCACAAGCTCCGCCATACAGTCTCATCGCGCAACTGGCCTATGCCGTAATGTAGGGGGGTTAGAGGGGCCGTGATAAGCCTAAAGGCGACGGAATCGTATATGCGCTAGTAAGCCTAGTAAGCATTTAGCCCCTGAAATCGCTCATTCGGCCTTTCTGTCCGGCTCAGCGCCGGTACCTGGTTGCAATATGATCCGTTTCGCTGTATTTTCCCCGCCAAAACTCGCCGCAATCTCGGCCGGCACCGCAACCCACCCTAATAGATACTCCATTATGACATCGCATTTAATCCTACCATACCCATATCAGAGTGCTCGACCATGCCCTCGAGTTGATTTTACCTAGATTATTTTGTACGTTTTTCTTCCCACATCAGGATCTACGCTGAGTCTCGCGAGTACTGCCTACAACATGTCATTCAATTCTATACTTGAAAAGCTAGCTTATCAGCTACAGTACACCTCACAGAAGCCAGAGGTGACGTGGGAGGCCAGAACACCCACCGACCTTTGTCTTTATAGTTCCAGGCCTGCAAAACTAGCGCGCAAAGACACCTCTGTATATGAGATACCCGGAGAAATAGAGTGGACCTGGATACCGGTCAACGCCCGGGACGTAAATGCCGACATCATCGCATCAAAACTTATTCTGGAGAGTCTGTCTTACTTCCGCCTTGTTCGATTTGGTGACTGGGTACAGGAAGCAGAGGGTTCCTCATCGAATGCTGTCAGATTACTAGATTTTAGATATAAATGGCTAAGTGAGACGCTATATTCCTATCTTACAAGGAGCCTGGAGGAATATCAAAAGTACCTGGATCTGGTCAAGGTATTTGAATATCATATATCCCTGCTATATCACTAATACAAATGCTAACACATGCAAGGCCTTGGAGGAAAAAGCGGCTGACCCCTTTTTGCTTGGTGCCATCAAGAATGCCTGCGACTGCATTAGCAGGAGGACATATGTGGAATTTGGTATTGACTCTCAGTTTATTACGGGCCCTCTAAGTATCATCAGAGCCAGAGAGTATCCAAGAGAGCTTATTGATCGTCAACTCAAGGCTTTAGAAGTGCGCTTCCGAAGCTGGTATAACAGTCCTGAGGTTAGGTGGTCGCAAGAGTTCGATACTCAAACTGACTTTCTCGACACATTGTACCGCATAGGACCTGAAGCCATAGCGGTCCAGCTATCTAAAGAAGACCTCCCACACTTCCACCGACTTACTATAAACAGCATTACGAACGACAGCAACGGTGTTCGGCTAGCTCTCAATACCCGTTGGAACAGCCTTGCCCATGCGGCAAAGGAATGTTCAGCTGCTGGGCTTTATACGGAGCTGACTCTATTAGCGTGGGTGAGTTAGAGATCTTCTCCCTTTTAAATTATCTTTCACTGATAATGGGCCCAGAAACTTCATCGTCTGCGCAACTTTTACTCTTTGACTGCAATCCTTCAAGGTATCAGGTTAAGTGGATTGCGCTTAGCAGCACTCGACTACCTGATAGATTCCGGGGGGAATTACATGCAGTATAGAAAGAAAATGTGTTCTAGCCCTGCACTTCACTTCCTGTTTCCTTTCTCACGAACAAAGAATACCACAGATGTCGAAAAGGTAGTGTCTGCTGCCAGGGGATACACCGTTAGAGATCAAAACAACATTCTTTCACTGCTCTCGACTTGCCTGGGCTTTAGGCCGTGAGCTTCTACCTCCGGAGTCAGATAAAGCTTCAGTTGTTTTAATACAGAATATATTTCAAGCCACCTTGACAGCAGCGGACTATTTGCCCATTTCCTTTTTTCCTACAGGTGTTACCATTTCTGAAACCTCTTTAAGTGTTGAGTATCCTATTGTGATTCTGCGTGGCTCTTCAACGGTACAATTCCATCATAACTCAAGCCTTAATGCCATGAGGGGCTAAGCCCATTGAAGAACACCTAAACAGCTCCAGCTCCGTGCTTCAGTACTATCTCATATATGATTATCTTACTTTAGTTAACCATTATATCACTCATTTCTCTAATATGGGTTTAATAAAGAAGCAGAGACAGTGGAACCCGAGGGATTGGAGGGCCGCAGTACAGTAGTCCTGAAGCCCCTTCTCTGACAAAGCCTGAAGCATCTTACTCGATGGGAGAGTGGTACTGGATATGAGCTCCTTGTCGTTTTATTTGGTTCTGGTATAGGACCGTATGCTCTCTTGGTTGTCAACTATCAAAAGGAACCTAAGTTTGCTGGCTGCACGTTGTCATTTTCTGACGGGGAGGATCAGGCCGTAGTCGCAGATTTTTCTGGGGTTAAACACTATCTGTCAGTCAAGCTCGCATCTGTGTACATATACATACCCTCAAATATACCTGCGCCTTCTTTATTACCCCTACCATTATTTCTACCTCGCGAGCAATTCTAATACTAATCATCCAATACAACTTTAGATTTACGTTACTCGCACCCAGATTGCGAAAGACACTGTATTGTAAAATTCTAAAGGGACAAAGCCTGATGGCTGTGCTTATGGAAAGAGCGTAGCTGAAAGAAGACATTTGTATGCCAGGTGAATAACCTAGCCTTCGACTCCATTTTCACGGCAACGAAGCCTAATATTGGCTGATTCGGCTTTCCTGGTCAGGGTGACTTTCATCGCTTTATACATGCAGTTTACCTTGTTATGTGGATGGTTTTGGGTTGCCTTTGGTAGAACTACCTGAGTTCCGGCTCCTTCATAGGGCCACCTACAAGTTGAAAGAGGTGGTACCCATCTTCATCAACGCTTCAAAGCACTTTTCATAACCTATGTAAATAATTAGCTAGTCATTGCAATTGTCTCATCTCTTCACATACAGGATATTATTTTGTCCTGCCAGATTCCTTGTTCGCAATCAACATAGCCAAGGTACCTTAGGGACTCGGATATATCGACAATATGTGCTACTAGTTTATGCAGCCAGTCGCACAGACTTTTCTTAGAGTCGAAGGCTAAGTAAGTACCTTGATCAAGTGCCTCCAAGGTATACCGACCCAAATCCAGATAACATTCATTGAATTTCTCCCAGACATTAATGGCATCATTTTCAGTAGTCATCCGCTGGCTTTGCTTCTGAATACCTACTAATTCGGAGAAACTTTGCTGGTGCGCCTCCAAGAGACTGTGGCCATCTATGGCAAGTAATATGGATGCTGCTCTCTTGGCATCCCCTCGATTTATCGCCGCTTGGTAGTTTTCGAACTGTTCTGAAATACTACTCGGGCTGAAAACTTGAGCTCTTCCATGATGTGAGAGATTGATGGCATGCAATTCGCTGGGTTCAGGCTGCTGACGGGCATGATCACCTGGAGTTTCATAGTACGGCTGAGCCGCCTGTCTACTCTCGTCGGTACAACTGCTGTCGGACGTGTTATCCCCTGCTATTCCCCCACTCTCGGAAGGTAACAGAACTTACCAACTTTCTTTGGGTAAATATATCATTTTTCTTCTGTCTTTCAGCTCCATTTCGTACTGGAGAAGCAAGTCTGCCAACTCGATAAAAGGGTCCGCGTCGGTAACTTCATCCCCAATTAACGGATTTTGATTGTGTAGCACAATACGTATGCCTTCCCCCTCGCGATTCGTTTCAAATAGCCATCCACTCAACACTCTCAGATCTTCTTCTAGTTCATTCATGTCACTCAGGCGAGGATAGACATATACGGGCCTCAGATATTCAAACTCCATATCTCAAGGTGATGGATTTTAGTCTGGGATTTGCGATTAAAAGGTCGACAGAAATGATTCAATGGAACAAAACGTCGATGGTGCGAGCTGCACTACATATGAAGCTTAGAAAAGGTAGGTAGCAGCCTTTCTAATATCTGGTGGAATTTCTGGTTGCGTACGCTATGTGACCCATACCTCTTGTCGAGGCGCTTAGGCCTTGTAGTCGATTACTGATTCCGCGGGATATCCTATGGTAATCTCGTAGGTATTGAAATGAAAGACAAGGATGCCAGCTTTAGTGTAATTAAAGGGCCGACTTGGAAATGAATTAAACACCTCTACCTCGCGTCATTTCGCTTTAGTTGAACGTTCCTTGGCGCGTGGGTTAACCCAAAGCCGGCTAGGTATGAAGCAAAAATAAGCCGTCTTATTGGCTTGGTTGCGTGGAAATTTAAATCCACTATCCAAAAAGTGATGCGTAGAATCCAGTTCCCTTTTTAGGCTGGGCTATGGCTAAGCTAGACCCGTTGGTTCAATAATATACAGGAATTATTGTCTGCGCAGCAGGACCGCAAGGTAACCATCACGTGCATGTGGGTCAAAATCGTATTTTGAGAATGGCCGTAGATTAATATGTCAGATGGGAATGAAGCACAGCCATTTTGCTACCTTCCTTTGTTTCTCTCGTTGGCGTTGTAACCTCCCTGCTAGGGTTTCATATCTCTCCATAGATAACTCTTTGAAGCAAATACTGTAACCTTTGGGAAAGGCGCCATTTTTTCGCTAGTGTAACTGCCGAAGCCTGTTTTTGGAGCGGTAGATGGTAACCTGCTGGTGATTCGTTAGCATGATGAATAGACCTTTTACTGTGTCTTCATACTTGACTCTCCAAAGTAAATGAGATGCAGAATCCAACACACTGTCTGCAGGTCTGTATCTTCCACATGTAAATCACGGCTTTCGCCCCCCAGAAGGCTGTCCCGAAATTTTTCCGCTAGATATGGACTCTCTGCGGCGAGGACTGTGCTGTGAACAGGTATGCTCCGATCTCCTACAACTATCTTCGCATCGGAGCCTTTTCCATCAATCCATGATCTTTTCCGCCTTTCTTGTAGTGCATGCCCAATCAGACCTAACAGTGGCATTTTCTTCCAGAAATACTGTGTGTCGTTAGGAAGATATAATATATATAAGTGTGATTTTCTCAACATACAAGTGCGATATACAGACTTCACCATCTGATATATAGTGCTTTGTTAGTCCTGAGTCGAAAACGTATCAGTTCTGATATCAAAGCCCAATGGAGGACGCAGGAGCTCACTGTCCTGCTTCTTACTCATTCCGGCCCCGAACTTTGAGAGACAAGAGCGTACTACAGTAAACATATTTTGTCTGATTTACAAATGTACCACCAATAGATATTGAGTCATATTAGGTTGGTAAACAGTTCATACATCCGTTGAGCACGAAATAAGTATTTGTTTCGGAAGATATTGTACCGAATGTGATATTGCGTTGAACTATATTGTTGGACATTGACTGTACCCACTTATTGTTACAATATCTTATTTAGCATCGAAGGAGCAGAGGCAAGAGAAACCAGTTATACTCCTCTTAAATTAGACCGAGGGAATCAGTTTCCTTTGTGTTTAACCAAGTAATACGATTACCCTGGGAACTGGAATCACGGACAAGTTATTATTCACCGTTCGGCTTATCTTCTTTACGCAAAATATCTTTCAGGCCGAATTTTACTAATATATTACAGATTACCTAGGCCTAAACGACAGGTCACAAGTCGGTATATGAAAAGGATAAAGGGTCATTATGGGTTCCACTGTATCCAGGGAAGAGGCAAGCCGCGATAAACGTTCTCTGGTGTACGACTCTCGGCGAGACAATGGGTTAACACTCTCTGAAAACAATGTTTTTTAGTTATCTTTGATCATATATGAACTAGCTACATGCTATAAGCGGTCTTCTTTTGCAACCCATTAAATTGTTTTCAATGATCGCTTCGTCCTTTGGCTTGAATGAGAGTGGGCTTACAAGCAGGCTATCCGGTGCTTCGCATACTGGTTCAGGTGCAGACAGGCGAGATTCCTGGTGTCATACCAGGCCACATGATTGTTTTCAGACCTAGGAAGCCCCATGGCAGTCACTGTAGACTGTAACTTATGAGCCAAGTATTGTCCGCAAATATATTATTTTTATCCGACTACTCTGGTTCTTGTGAGAAGCTTTCACGTGCCCTCTGATTAAAACTCTTTAGAGCAGTTATAAACTCGGTACGGGCTGTCGGTAGCTTGGCTTTTGTTGGCGAATCAAGGAACAGATGGCAAGTTGCCCAGGCACGCTTGACCTCCTCCGGTGTCGCAACTTTGTCGTATGAATTAAGGATCTGCGCGAGCGTCTCATAGTGATCATCCTTCAATGATTCATTAGAAATCTTTTGCCGCCCCTCAAGAAATCTGAGCCCTTCCAGTGTCGAGGGTAAGTGAGCCGAGGTATAGAAGTGGCCACCGACAACTAAAGAATCATCTGGCGTGAAGACAGCGTGTGGACATGATGGGGGCATGATACTAAATAGATGTCAGATAGAATAATTGCAAGAGATAGGGTGATTTACAATAGATCACCTGGTCTTAACTCCACTCGAATCCAGCCGCCGTCGTATCCCTTGAATTGTTCCGACCCAAGTCGTGCCAGTAAGCGAACCGCATTGAGATTGATTGTGTAAGGGAAATAGACAATCTTGCGGCCATGAATGACATACAACCACGTGAGTGCTGCACCAATGTCAACATGGATTGGAGATATACAATCTTTTGTACTCAGAAGAAGAAACTCCTTATGTGGGTTGACCCAGGTAGAGTCAGCTTTTCCGATAGTAGTCTGGCCGTCTCGTGCAATCCGCTGAATTAAGTCAGAGTCCATGATAGGGGTTGGGCAACATTGGCGTATTCTGTTCTCAATGTCAAGACAATTCAATGCCGTTCGCGAATCCTTTTCCCAGTGCTTGATAACATCTTCGGTCAATCGCCTCTCGGTGCGTTCGACTTCCTTGTCAATCGAGTAATCATACACGTCAACGAACTTCTGACGGTTCTTCCGCATAAACGTCCAAAATGTACTCCATGATACTTCTGGATGACTGATGGAACGAGAAGCAGTTGACTGAAAAAGAAGTGGACGGGAAAATTGCAGTTTGAGATGCCTTGTTAAGTTTTCACTCTTGTCGATAGTGATAACGTCTTCCGCCACTAATGATGGATCGTGATAGAGAGCAGTGATCAAGTCGAGACTACCCCGTTGAAACTGGGCTCTAAGGTTTTCTGTGTTTTGAGATCGGGTATTAGCCCATCTTGCAGATTGATCAAGTTTCTGGATAAATGAACGCAAAGATTTGGCGCCTGGATTATTAGAGGTGTTGAAATTAAGATCATAAGTCCCCCAACCAGGAACCAACATTTCTTCAAGTTTGCGTGTCTTCTGTCGCTTTCGCTTGCTTGAAGCTACCCAGGGTCCGGTATTAGTGCTGTCAACTGCTGGGGAGGTTGACATGGCTAATAGGCCGTGAGTATTTCGTGGAATATTCGTCAAAAGTTGTCAAAATTTGGGCTTGATGAATTGTGGTTGACAGGAATACAACAGCTGACCCGTGTTGCCCAGTGAACACAGACCATTCCCACTGGGCGCAGAAAAAACTCATTGGGCACAGTATAATACCTGGAATTGGGGCTAAAATCAGGCAGACGAATTTGTGACAGATCGAGGACCGTGCCCATTGGGCGCATACTATGCCCACTGGGCGCACACTATGCCAAGCGGGTACATACGGACCATCTCGGAAATGAAACCGCCATCCCTGTCACCCTTTGCTGCCACGTAGATAATCCTGCCTCATGGTCTGGGCTCAAGGAGTTCTACGAGCTCAGACCCTTCCTTTTTCTTTCCCTTCTCTGATTGACTACCCTCTCTAACATTATGGATAGATCTATCCTCGTCGTTTCGATCCCTCCTCTATTTCTCTCTTCTCGGTTCAATTTCTGCGTACATATCTTTAACATTCGTCCTCGAGCTACTCGACAGTCCAGATGACCATCTGTAGTCAAGCACACAGTGATTGCAAAATCAAGTTATTCAATTGCGTCACAGCATAGCTACCGAATTTGCGCAACATTCGAAGGGCTGTCCTTGCTGGTGTTCTTCCAGTTGGGGCATTTTTTTTGTTATTTCAAAAACCTCCAATCTCCAGTCCGTGTCTAGCTATGGCTACTTCTATGATAGTAAGTTAAGAAGTCCAAGATCCAATGCACACATATATCTTGAAGGAGTTTCAAACAGCATTCAACCTGGACCTGGAGGTCAACTTGAGTATAAAGTTACCCACTTAGTACTCAGACCGTCTCAACCATATGAAATTTGATGTCGGTAGGCTGCATCTCTTCTTTACTTTTTCCCCTCTTTCATTAAAATATGTCGTTCCTAATTGTGCTCGATAAATAGATACAACAGCATCTCATGAAGAGGGCATTAGAATATCCGCTCGCGCATCCGACCCATCGAGGCGATCTTTCCCTTATTGCAGATGATGCCAAACAATCCTGAGCCACCGTATCCCATGTTTTCATGTTGCCTTCCTGAAGCCCGTCAGTATTTATAAACCAAACTTACTCCTGTGAAGGGTTTAATATCCGGCGATTAATGGGAAAGGACCTTGGGAACTCGTCACAGTCAGTTAGTTGGCTCTTGAATATATCCGTGCCTTGCTCAGTTCTTCCCTTTATATTCACCTTCTAGAGGCAACCCTAGCCAAAACAGCTGGCCTTGTAAGCGTTCATACGAGGAATAGATCCATTGGCTGGCGGAGGTACGCGATAACTTAACTAATCGAAGCCCATTGTTCTATAAACTACATCTTCATTTACTGTACCTGACTTCTAATTTTATTCATCCTCAAAACAAGCCAAGTTCATTCAGTGTTCACAATAGCCTTTAGCGGATTTCCTTTCACTGCAAGGGTACAAACCTTCAATCAACATAGCAAGCTGCTACTCTAAGGCAGATTACCTCGAACAAAAAAACGTTGCATTTTATGATAGCCAAAGACCTAACAAGCGAAAGTTGAAAAGCGAGGCAACAATGAGATACCGTGGAAGAAAGATGTTTCCCAGTGAACTTTAGTGGAAGGGCGAAATGTTACCCAAAGAACCCCAACAGGCGCACCAGAAGGTTGTATGCACGGTTGCCACTTCAGGACTAATTCGCGTGAAAGCGCCACATATTGAGAAGATCCTCAAAACACGGTTAGCCGACGAAATAATACTACTTCAAGAGCTTACAGGCAATGACACGTGACCAACTCACTGTCGTGATTGGCCTTTTTGATCATCAGCTTATGCTGCCCAATCTTTGGGTTATCCTGGAGCTCTCTAAGAAGCTCCGGTATCTTAAGTAATGGATGGAGCTCAATGATCTGTGATTTCAGTTTGCCATTCTCCATAGTCACTCGTGCTGTGACCTCTTCACCACTTGGGCTATCAGCATGATATGTACAGAATGGATCAGATCACATACAATATATTCTCATTTGGCGAGAAGGTCTGCCATCTAATATCAAACGGTTGACTCAGATCTGCTTCACCACTGTCACCATCATCAAGATTGCGGATCACCAATTCGCCTTGCACAAGGGATTCTTCGGATTGCCAAAATTCCCGTTCTGTATCCCAATAGGCGCTTGAGACCACTGCTCTGGGACTAGCCTGGGACATGTTATTCTGTAGAGTACAATCTATAATGTATATTGCACTAGCTTCCAGTCGTGATGGTACCTAAGGGCTCTGACGCAGTTTAGACGTGAAAAGGTCCTTAGAATAGTGCGGATGGCTTGCCATAGATTAATACTTCGGTTTAACTTTCTGATCACGTGAATTAATTATTATGATCAGTATCTTTTCTTGCGAATCAGGTATACACTAGTCATGGTGTGTGAAAGTACATTCTCCAACCAGTCCTTTGGAACTGGCTGGTGGGTCTCATGAAAATTGTTACTACCATAAGTGGCAAAAGCTGTTTCTGTACCGTTGGATACGAAGATGGAGTTAGCTCCCCTTACTGGGGCTTCTCTTTACCGGCCGAGGCTCATTGTCATATATAGGGCGTTGACATTCTAAGCGTTGTATATTGGGCAAAACCCTCTTCTATGTGCGGCTGATCTGTAATGTATGTCAGAGCCCTTGTGAAATGGGTGGATGCCGAGGGCTAACCGGCTTCGTTGTTAAAACCTTCAGTAGAGTTGATCGTTGTAATATGAGATTAGACAATACTTTACATCGATTGCTCCAGTCCACGCTCCATTTCATTGACCACCTGACGCAACGAAATTCGAAGACCGTCTAATGAATTAAGGAACTCTGAGTGAGTCACACTCTCGTGAACTAACATAAGCAAGTGTTGGTTGGCGATGGAGGACTTGAAATGCAGGTCACAGAGCTTTGCTATCCATTCTTTTGCCTTTCCAGCCTGCAGTAGACGCATGTGTATCATTTTTGCCAGGGCAATAAAGATCTTCTCGAAGTTTTCAAACGTCCGTTGGAAGTCAAGATCTAAAATATCGGCTTTTTCCCTAGGAACCATTTCAACAAGCAGATTAATATCACAGAGACATAGCCACGTGCCAACTAGAGCTGGAAACTCGCGTAGTAAAGCCTCATCATGTCCAATCCTTCGAAATCTTAGGTTTGTATACCTATGCAGCTCCCGAGGTGGCTTTTGCGATAGCCTCTCTACCTGGAGACAGTATCTGAAGAAATTCATTATATTTGTCGTTTGAGGACTATGGCACTGAACACTGTCCAGAAACTCCTTTGCCATGCAGTGCATCACAAAGGTTATTTCGCTCTCTTTGCAGGCTACGGCACCTGTAGTGGCGGAATGCACTGCCTTGGCACATTGTATCTCATTGTCAACGGTCGACTGCGGCTTGCGTGCTGAGAGGCTCAGCCAAAGGCCAATTCCAAGAGAAAAGCTGACTAACTCAGTGGAGTTGAGGAGCATCGCAACCGCATTTCTTGCCTTTCTGGTTAGCGGCTCAGAGGGCAATGCTTTGCTCGTTCCGGTGAGGTAAGGACGTATGCCTCCAATATGGCGGATTAAATCCGGGTGCACATGAACAGCGAGAAGATCCCTTATTTTCTATCGTCAGTTAAGTTTCACATGGGGTTCAGTAGCGGCCAGCAATTGCGTACTCAAATGTACGAAGGACAATGTTTATAAATCCAGGGGACGACATAATCTAACTCCAAAATCTTTCGTAGTGACTAGTGTCGGGCGGTATTATGGCAGATGTAGAAAGAAAACCAAAAGATGAATAGCTAAATGGTTTATCTTATAGGTGAGCTCTTGGATCTATAGAGAGATTAGTCAAGACACAAGAAAGCTAGTGGTTGTTAACCTAGGATTGGGGTGATCACTCGTAAAGAAGCCCCTGACCAGGATTTATGTTAGCTAGTATTCGCCTAAAGGCTAGATACATGCACGATCATACCTTAGAGGTTCCCCCTGTGTGATCTTATGCCTCACCCAGATATTCCACGACTCGAGCACCCTCCATGTCTAAACTACTTGAGAAGTCTATTTTAAGATGTGGCACGACGTCAAGCCTGCGCTTTATTCTGATGTTTCTTCGTAGTCTGACTTGCTAGGACAACAAAACCACGTGTTGTTAATTGTACAGGCGACTTGTGGGCGTAGTGGATTGTAATCATATATCATTCTCAAGCCGACGTTGCCTTCTATCTATATACGATTGCTAGAGTATATTGAAACGGGACAGAATAAATATTGCATGCTGCTTTCTGTAAACACCTTCCTACAGCTCCCAATTTAACCCTTACATGTTAAAAGCATGTATATCTGTCTGCATGTGGTGCTGGCACCAGGTTCGCTCCGATCTATGTTAAAGGCCTTCTATGGGAGTGGAACGAAACATCCATTTTTACTAAATTCTTGCGCACCTAGGCTTATAGGCTCAGCGGTCCATTGCCATACTTCTCACTTATGTATCTTTCTTAAGGCCGAAGAATTTGCAAAAAGAGTCATAGTCCGCATTCCCGTTAAGGAGCTTCCCCTGAACGAGATTTGCTCCATGCACTGTATGATAAGAAATATGCCCCCCTCTTCTTTCAGTGCAATAGATTCCTCCTCCACGCTCTGACTCGGTACGATGAGGCTTTTCTTCTCCCCTACTCGTCCCCATGTTCCGATTGACTATGTGCTGTTCGTTCTTGGCAGACGGCGCATTTATTCCCGAGGAGGCAGCAACGTTGAAATCCTGTGATGTGCCGTTTACCATCACCCAGTCATCCTCAATTCGTTCGAGGGTCTTCTCCTTAATGGGCAGAATAAAACCAATCAGAAATCAAAGTATATCGAAAATTGGGACGTCTCACTTACTGGTGCCTGATCCATGTTGGACAGAACCGGCGATGAATGTTCGGTAAGATGTTCTAGAGTGTATCTCTCAGCTGTTGGTGTATTAGTATATGAGAGAAAAGAGAGGTAATATATGAGTGAAAAAGTGGGTGCTCGAAACCTAATGTGATTCATGGTCACCTGAGACTAACTCCTATTCCTTCTAAACCTCTCACCGTAGCGAGATCTCCGTTGCCGGCGGCAAACGAGATGAGTGAAGGAAAAATGCCTTAATTTCAATAATTAAACTATAGGCCTTGGTCGCACTTAAATCACTGGCCTCCAGCTGAGCATGGGTCCAGTGCTAAATTTTTCATTGTGACCCAACTATGCCAGCGCTTCGGTAAAACTCCCTATGTACATTCTAACCAAGAACGGAACAAACTTTTCCTTTCCACAGATACGACTAATAGTCACAGGCCGTTGCTGGTAGCCTCGGTGCGCATGGCTTTCATCGTCCTATTCTCCCCTACGCATAAAGTTTATAGAAGGATTAAAATCAACGCCGGAGTTTTAAGTATATGAGCAGCAGAGAATATTATTCAACGTAATCTTTCCGTGCAGTTGATTAGGTTATCAAACACCATCAGAAATCAGACTTCATGACCAACAAAGAAAGCTAGCGAAGCAGTTACCCCTGTCCTGGCCTTGACCAGAGAAGCCTTCTTGTCCCCACATCTTCGCATACATTTCTGAATGTCAAACAGCGCCCGCCATTGGTTAAAGAGCATTGTCCAGGCAGACGCGGCCCTCCTAAAGAACGAACATCCCTATATAGTAATAATAGTTCGATAATTACAATACTTTCTGATTGTGGTAAGTGCACGCTGAGAAAGCACTAACGAGGGAACGAGCCCTCATTCCGAACAATCAAGAGATCTCCAAGCTGATCGATTTTACCCTATCGCCATCAGATTTCGCGGCCGTGTCCATGTCGGGCAAATCTTCTACTCTAGCGAACGTCCTAGTGTTATCTACCTACTGTTCACAGATAAACGGATTGTGTTCTGGCTAAAGCTCGCAGAGGTCACTTCTATGGGCGGTCTCCTAACAGAACCCCTCCTTATCGTAATAACCCACCAATTTGGCTCACTAGAACTTACACTGGTTATCGGATCATTACGGATGTCTGTTACCAAGGAAACGTTTTTGGACGCGATGTCCACACAACATACATTGACACCAGGCTCCGAAGGAAGCCAGATTACGCACTAATATCCACGTAGAACACCGCTAACGACAAATTTTGCCCTATCAGGATGAAAAGACTGGGTTTTATCCCCGTCTGGGTTCGTATACTTTGCTAGTTTCTGGGGCCATTGCGGTCGCGGCCATTTATGGATGCGGCCACCAATCTGCTGGGGTACGATCTAGCTCGATCAATTCGGTTGGCTTGGCATATCCTCACTACGTAGTGACCCACTTATCTTAAAAGTCTCTTTCTATGATAGGTAATATGAATGAATCATCATCATACCCTCTGCATAGTGATCCGGTTGGGTTGTTTCCACTCTACCTAGACCAAAAAGCAGGAACGCTAAAACGAAACAATCAATAGGATATGGCTTCTAGGGGCATCTCTACATGTCAAGAGTGATGTAATCTCGCAGCTACAGGAGTAAGTACCATCTAGCCATTTTTCACAGGAGTACGGTCACCCCGCCACATTATCAAATAACTCGATAGTTGCGAATATGCATTATGTATTGGTTAGAAGTCCATGTAGATCCTACCCTCAATACCAACTAACAAGCACAGTTGCACAACTATCAGACTCACGAGATAGTCACAGCTGCTAGTATGGAGTTACCGTATCATCCTTCCGATGACATCTCAATGTCTGTCATATCCAACCAGTCTAGAGGCGTTGTGCTGGAGTAGATAGATAACTGTATAATTAGGTCTCACTGCTAGGTCTGATTCGATGTTTGATTGTAGGCTTAGTAGGAGACGGTCCGATTATAGGTTGGTTCAGGCAATATTTGGGATATGTTAATATTTCATTTGCTTCGTTCTGTGTGCTATAGCTCTGTGTCTATGTAGGATTGCCCACCACTTTTTACTACACTTATTACCAGTGACATATATGGATCGGCGCCTTCCCCGCTTGGTCTGTTGAGTCCTATTCTAGCTACCCACGACACATAGAAAGGGGTAAGCCAAAGAACCCTTGCCCTTGCATACAAATGTGTAGTGCGCTGAAGTGTATCTCCCTCCATTAGTTGCTAAGGCTTTTTCTTCCCCCAGACTTCTACGTCAGTCTTGACATTACTCGGAAAGTCATCACGAATACATACAAGTGAACATCTCAAATTCTAATTGCGTTCAAAACTCGCCCATTTGCTATCATCGCTCACAAGGTATATATTGTTTTTCTTATATAGATAGCCGAACTAATTAACAGCCCCCCGAGTCTATAGACGACCCCCCTCTCCTTTCTCTCACGCACTACAACTCCTGCGCCTGACGAATGGGTGCAGCTAGCGATATCGAATCCTAGCCCCATCTTGATCGGATTGTCTTGGGTACTTTATCAACTACCTCGTCCTGGAGGTCCTAGCTAGGCTGCAGGGCCTTCATCATAGGGATACTCTCCATTAGAAACAACATGAGAACTCGTGCCCTTCCTCAGCCAACACGCCACATGCATAGCGTGCCTTCCAGTAGCTTCCATGTTCCATCACATTCGACAGAGACAGATAACCTACAATGGCGTCTTTATCCATCTAATGAAGGTAACTCTGCGGAACAACGTCGTGTTTGTGTTGTTCTTCCACCACTAATTCCACACGGGAATCCTGCTATGACCAATTGCGAGTTGCCACTCCCTCTAGGTGATCCATATAATAGGCAAGGAAAAATTCATGGTCAAAGACATACCCCTATGGAGGCAAACCAGCCTTTTCGAGGTCCAATGTATGAGAAGCCCTTTGATCCAGCCCCGCACGCTGCGCTGCCTGAACATCGACCTCAGGTGTATTTTCCACAAGAACCACGTAGTAACAGCGATGCCCCGCCTCCATTACCTCCGCACTCAAAACCTTCGGCTCCATGTTCAACTCTCGTTCTACCTATTTCCCATGCCCCAGCATCGTACGATTCTGGCTCCTACCAAAGCCAGACCTATGGTACGCGCCAGCGCAAGGGTGCACGGGCACAACAGGTAAAATGGCTTTCATTACTCATATAGCGGCCTTTTTCATTTCCCTTCTATATTGAGAAAATTTACTGATGCTTTTGGTTGACCCACGGTTGAAGGCTTGCGAAAATTGCCGGGCAAGGAAAGCGAAGTGCGATGAAGGAAGGCCGTCATGCAGCCATTGCAAGGATAATCGCCTAAGCTGCTTTTACAGAGAATTTCCTCATAAAAAGTCTGTATTTCCAGGCCTTCTAGTTCAATATTCTATTATCGGCCGAAGACCACTGATAGGCGATGCAGATACGATAAGGGGACACAACTCCTCTTTGACCGAATACAGTCATTTGAGGACGAAGTAATGGATAGATTCGATTGCTTAGATCAACTTAACACAGAGTATGGGAGCCAATTTAACACAGTCCTGGCAAAGATTCAAGATAGCTCTGCACCCAAGGCACCACGGACATCAATAGTCCCTGAGTTGATGAATAAGGACTCGCTAGATATGCTGCAACGACCCAAGGCCAAAGACGATAATATTGCTACAGCTCTGAAGCAACTACCGGAGTGCAGTGAAGCGGCCACTAATCAAGGCGTACGGCCTGGCGAGTATGGTGAGCTCTCAATTCCTATAGAGCATACGACAGCAGCTCATAAGTTGCTATTGTGGCCTTCTATCCAAAATTTACTTCTTCCAACAAGGTATGATGACGATTATGTAATGAAACTCGAAGAACAAAGAGGTCTTATCTGTGTTTACGGTCGTGGGGAGGGAGACGAGACCAGTGAAGATAATAGCCCGTCGGCAGCACCAACAAACTCCAGTACGGGCTGCGATGAAGACGAGCCATACTACGCAGCAGCCTCCCCTGGTGACCCCTGGAGTGTGGAAGCAAAGCAAGAGCAGGCTAAACTTGCAAACAAAGGGATTGATGAGAACGGTATCCTAACCGCAGATGCTAACGATGTTCACCGCTACTATAAAAGTTATATGAAGCATATGCACCAGCTTCACCCATTCCTTGATCACGGCTATTTGGAGAATATGATTAACCAGTTCATTGAGATTAACTGTCCTCAAACATGCTCTGCGGCAATCTCTGAAGTGCCTAATAAACACGCTAATGATTTTCCTCGGGGTAGGAAACGGAAGCACTCATACGAAGACTTCAAAGGCACCGGATGCGATGTGCAATTCCATGCAGGGCAAGGAAGCTACCAACGCATTGAGTACTCCGTTCATAATGCGATTATTCTCTTGGTCCTCGCCCTTGGCAGCATCTGCGAAGCCAACCCTGTTCCTGGGCCGGTGACAGACTACATTGTGGATTTTCGGCAACAGATAATACCTGGCCCCGCGGGATCGGGCTATGGCCCTCACCCGCAAGGCGGTAGTTATGTCATAAATAACTGCAGCCCTACATCCCCTCCATTGACGGGTGGCCCGCGAACTGGAACGGGAAAACTTCCGAGATCGCAAGACAACCAAAACCTCAAAAATGTTGATGTTATTCCTGGTCTGGCCTTTTACGCATACGCCACTCAGATCCTCGGAAGCATCCAAGGATCAAATGGCCTACTCCACATCCAAGCAGCCTTGCTAGCGGGACTTTATACAGGCCAGCTGGCGCACCCACTCCAGAGTCACGGGTGGATTCATCAAGCCTCCAGAGCTTGCGAATTTCAGATTCGGTCGTACGTTTTGCCCTTTCCGTTCAAGTGATAGTATGTGGTACTAACTGGATTCCCAGAAAGCGTTACAGACAAATGCCTGATGGGCCCGTTAAAGACCTTTATGATTTTGCGTATTGGACATGTCTGCAACTGGAGAGGTATGGCGGCTCCTGCGATCTTCCCATCTCTTTGCTCCCTTCTGCGATTTCTTTCACATTCTGATCTTATGCCAAGTGATATACTGGCAGAACTTGATCTTCCTGCTAGCGGTATATCACGATCACAAGATTATATTTCCCTACCAAAGGGTTGGTTCACTCTGAATCTCCCCAATGATATTTCTGCTCCAAGTACTATGATGATGTTTTTTTACTCGGCCCAAATTCATCTCAGGAAGATTCTAAACCGTGTTCACACGGACCTATACAAAGTCGATAGTAAGTGTAGGCCTCCGCAACTGTTTCTTGATTGAAGGCTGCTAAAATAATTGTCCACAGAGCAAAATCCAACTCACTGGTCATCACAAATCCAAGAGGTTTTGAGTATGAATCTTGAGTCGTGGCGAAACAGTCTTCCTTCACCGATGAAGTGGAAAGACACCGATCCACCATCAAAGGATATCAATGTCGCTCGGATGCGAGCCAAGTACTATGGTGCACGTTACATCATTCATCGTCCTTTACTTTATCATGCCCTTCACCACCATCGACAAGTGGATCTTTATGCGTCCTCAGATAGCCTGCCTACGAAGGTTACTGCTATGACTACTTTTAAACCCCAGAATCTAACTTCTTCACTAAACCATGACCAGAGTGTTACAAATCTGGCACAGCTATCAAGCGGCAAGTACCCTTCACCTGGGCTTACTGGAATTGCGCATCGCGACCTTCCTATAAAGCTACGAAGAGCTTGTACAGTTTGCATTGAATCAGCTATATTAAGCACGAAGGCCTTTGATGGTATCGAGGGTCGTCCGGTGGTGACCAATATCTTCGGTACCGCCCATGCGTACGTGAACATCAACTGCAAGTTATCTATGCCTACCTTGGAGCAAATCAGCTGACATTGTTTCTCTCTTTCATAGGCAATTTGGGAACATGTTGGTATTGTCCGCCACATATATGTCTAGCCTCTCTGAACTAGTGGATAGAACTAAACTTGAGGAACTCCTTCGGCGAACAATCAAATTTCTTCTCCAAAGCCGTAATATTTCACCTAGTCTGCGAGCCGACGCACGAATCCTTACCGAGATATACGATAAAATCTTTGGGGAGCCTCAGAATTAAGCTTGACAATTCCGTCTATATTGACTTTTATCTTTTAATCGCCGATACGGTTTGAGCATGCTGTGTCTTGCTTGTATCAAGACTTATTAAAATAATACATACTCCTTCATCTCTATTTCGATATCACTGAATAGGAATGCTACATTGGGTCTCGGGTAATCCAACCTTCAGCGCAGATAAATATTAACTTTTTCCCCTGGCCACCCAAGCCCAACAAGAAAGTCTATGTGGCAATAGTTGTAGGGCTCTCTGTTCTTTGAGAGTGAGTGCTGCACGGGGGCGGCTAATCCATAGCCCGCTCGCTTGTATTTACCGCTCCTTCGTATACCTTCGTATTAGAACCACAGCAGGACAGGGAGGTAATAATAAATCCTAATCACCTCTTGGCTTCTGGTTGGACTGATTCAAATTAGATCCACTCTTTCCCTACCGCCTGACGTATCGTAGTACTGACACTTATAATGGTTGTATTAAGTATCCTTGAAATTTATCTGCGGGCCAACTCTTTTACCCTGCCGCGGTTATGCGAGGGCTGGTTGTCTTATTTGGTTGGTGGATAGATGTGGGCCGGTCCTACAGTAGGTTCTGGTGGGTCACATCGGTGGGTCACTACGTAGGGAAACTTTCTGATGGGAGCCACAGCACTAAAGTATCCCTCTTCGCCATCCTCACTCAACACCCTCGCAGATCGGTTTCTACTGCGGTTAATACGATGTACCAGGCTACTTCCCGCCACGAACAAATTCTTTATGCCTTAGAGATAGTGTCTAGTCTAACAGATGACGAACTTCGGGAATACAGGGAAAATATCAAGCCCGCGCACCAGCGACTAAGCCGACGAAGTCGCTCATTGGATGCCATGGATTTTCTGGACAAAGCCTTGGAAGAGTTTCCGAGTGTGGAAGCCTTTCTCTACGACCAAGGTGATCTGACACCCATTATCCTTCGGGCAGATTATGGTAGTGGCGATACCAATCCCGCGAGTGCATTTATAACAGGAAGTTCGTGCAATGACCCGCAGAAGTGGCTTTTGCGGGCTTTGGCCAGAAGGAGCATAGTTCGTTCTATCTATGAGCAGCAGACCAACACTATGGCGTTCATTCGAGCGAATCGTTTGCCTAATACGACCACGGTTGCAAATTCTATTGGTGATGGTACAAAGCCAGATCAGCTAGAGAAATCCCTCGGCGGCTCAGGGATTTGGCTTATTCTCATGCCAGTGCTTTCGCTGTTTAGACATGTACCGCAACCGGAAATTACTGTTATCTCCCAACTACTATTATACGATGAGCGCTTTTATTCACTCAGGAGGGCCGCGTTAACATGGTCACGCTGCTTCGACCGATGCCAGGCGTTGTTTGACCTTCAGATACGTATGTAAGGTCACTTCCCGGACAAAGTTACTAGCTACTAAGACGTGGAGACAGGCAGGTGTAATACGTTGGGGCAGAGATGACCACCCCGTCGGGAAGAGATAGTGTTGGATAGAGACCTGTCGATGTCTATGTATTCAATCTATTCCAGCAGAGGTAGTATTAGAGAAGCTAGGATAGCCAGTATAATACTAAGTGTCATGCTCGCCACCGGTTAAAAGATGGCCAGCATTGTAAGCGGCCACAAGAAAGTCCAGGCTATGCCGGTCAAAATGCAGGCCCACAAGATCCTCCGAATACCCCATCCACATTATTATACCACCCTTGGATTGGTTGTATTCAATCCAGAGTCCACCGGCAGTGATAAGAATTTGGTCAGCATGCAAGTGAATTTCATCCGCGTGCAACCCACTGTTCCGTAACTCCTGCTCCGATTCGATGTTATGGGACCCAGGGTAAACCTTGAACATTCCATTTTCCGGTCCAACTTTACCCCCTAAGGGTCTCCATATGGAGATCCCATCCGAACAAGGGTGGGCTCGCCTTAGCTGCGACTCATCCTCGCGCTTGTGTTTACCGGCAACGAAATGAGAAATAATAAAGGGGCCTTGTATCATAAGATCATGATCTCTGCCAAACCGCGCCACAAGATTGATGTCTAGCTGCGAAGAGTATCAGCTGTCAACTGAGATAGAAAGACAAGAAAGTTAGAGAAGGGGTAGAGAGGAAAGCTACATTAAAACCAAAGTTCATGAACTGTATCCATAATTTCTTGGTTGGCACCCCGTATGTGCGCCAATCGAAAAAGCATTCGGTACCCGGATCGGATAGGCCATGTCGGTTGTTCCTCTCAACGGATTCTTTGACCTGCTGTACAAAGGTCCCGTTAGGCGCTGGTTTGCTAGCAATAACATAGTAGCCTTTGTTGTCCATTTTCTCAAGTTCTTCAATATTATCTTCATTATCTTCTCGTAGAAAGTCCGAAAATCCTCTGAATGGCATCTTGGCGGAGGGGTTGATGATGTAATCAAGGTCCAAAGTTTAACTCTGATTGGTTCAAGGTTATGAAGACTAATTTTGACTTGGGAGACAAAATCGGCTCCAAATGAGACAGGATATGAGATCTATTAATACTTTTTAAAAAGTAACGGTCATACTGAGTGGTCTGGAAAATTCCTCCTGTATTTTGATTATACTCCACCGAAGAACACGCATTTGATATTGAATGAATCAATAAGGCGCTAGTCATACGTTCTGTTTCTGGCTACCATCGATCAAACCAGGCATTCCTCTATGCCTACGTTGGAGACTGCTTGGTAACCGTCCCAGTTTCCGAAGACAAATGGATGATGCGTAACCTTGATAGGGTAGTCATACTCCCAAGGTAGATCCAACCTCGTTGTGCGTCTTCCCATTACACCATTCCATTTATTTAAGGCGTAGGATTATATATAAACGTTTTACGAACATTCTTGTAGCGGCGAGGAGCTCGAATATTTCATCTGATGAGAGAACCCCCAATAATTCTTTAATGTACCGTATGGTTGCAAGGGACCAACCTAGCCTTCAACTGTATAGTCGCAACAACGAGGCCTAGAAATGGCTGATTAGGCTTTCCCGCTCAAGTTGCTTTCAAACGTTTCTATATGCAATTAATCTTGTAACTTGAACAATGTTTATTTCTCTTTGGATAAACTAGTGTTGGGTTATCTGAGCTCCAGCCCCATCATATGACCCTTGCGAGTTGAAAGGGGTCGTACCGACCTGCTCCAACGCCTCAAAGCAGCCTTCAAAGCCTAGGTCATTAATTAGCTAGTCATCATCGCTTTCGTATTTCTTCACATACAAGAAAGTATGTCGTCCTCCCAGATCCCCCTTTCGTAATCGACCAGGCCGAAGTCCTCTAGAAAGTCAGATACGTTGATAATATGGTCCGCTAGTCCCCTCAGCCACTCTTCCAGCCTCTCCTTAGCGTTGCAGTCCAAGTGAGTAGTTTGCCAAAGTGACTTGGAAATATTTCGACCCAGATTTAGCCAACAATAATTGAAATTTTGCCAGAAGCCGATGGAGTCATTCTCGGTAGTCGTCCACTGATTGTAATCCTGAATATCTACCGAATCAGGAAATTGTTTTCGTTGCGCCTCCCAGAGACTGTGACCAGTTATCGTAAGCAACACCGAAGCTGCGTTGAGGTCTTTCTTCCTGTTTAAATGCGATGCCTTGTCTATCGCTGCTTGGCACACTTCGAATGCATTTGGTACATAATATGGGTTGAGAACTTGAGATCTTTCATCTTTCGAGATGTAGGTGGTATACAATTGTAGGTTTTCCAAATATTGACCGTATTCAAACAAAGTCTCAGGATAACTATTGTGAGGTTGCAGGGACAGATGGCAGGATTGATACCAATGCATCATGACTTTTTTAGTTTCAACTAAGGTACGGTGTAGTAGAAAGATGCGAGCTGGCCACTCGTATCCTGGAAATGTCTGTTTAATAAGTATTTGAGTGGAAATAACATATAGGCGATCTAGACCGGCCACGTCCGGCGCTAGGGAGTGGACAAAGAAGTCTAACCAGTGGATCCCATTTGACCCAAGTGGGTTTATTTTCTTAATGAAAATGAAAAGAAAAGAAAAGAAAGGCGTAATGTATACATGCCCGTCTGTATCTATGGCCAAGCTAATCTAAGCATTTAATCGAAATGGAGTCTTTCGTACTCTCAAGCAAACGCTCATTGCCTATGAGCTATCCGTCATACTCGTCAGTGTATACTGCCGTCATACGTTTTAGCCGCTGCTATCCAGTCTCCATCATATGATAATGCATGGGCGGCTGGCTTACTGGCTACGTTAACTGAACCATAAAAGAATAATGTAACACTTATACAGTTCCCATTAACTAGATCGGGCAATTGTTATGACATTATACATCGAAACAAAACTTGACATAATCCATTTCTAATTTAGCGTGGCGTGGCATCAAAGAGTTGGGAATAATATCCAAGAACATAGGGTAGAAACCGATCTTGAAAATATCTGTAAAGCTATCGTCGATAAATAACGGATTACTGTATATAAACATACACAAGGACTAGATAGTGGCATCCTGCATATCACCTAGCAAGGGGTAAGAGCATGATTTCACCAATACCATCTGTAGAGCCACTGCTGCGCTTGACCGAGCCAGTCTACTCTTCTCGGACCCTTTACCGAGGCAACACTTCCGCAAAGACATGCCCGTCATATTTCTAGCGAGCTGTAGACCAATTTGAGATGCAGGTGCTCAACATTAATACCACTGGATGAAATACCATCGATATAGCCCTTTCGACTATATCCACCTATAAGAGTAGATCTATACGCCATCAGGACATATTTGTGTGCTTTGGCTCTTTAAAACTTACACCCACAATGCACAAGGGCACAGCCAGTGCTCTGTTCTATTTCCAATATGTTGAAATTGTGGAGATTGCAACGCACAATCTTTCAATTTTTGAAGGCCGGGGTCTGTTTTGACGGCGTACGTAATAGTATGTTCAGGATCCCTATTACCGTGTTTATCCCACTCAATACCTGTCTCAGTTAGGCTGGCGCTGGTCTCAGTGCCCTGTTGCTTGAAGATTAAGAACCAGTGGGATTCGCAGCGTTTAGTTCGTCCAGGTGCACACATGACGGAGATTGTGCTTCCTGCGCATTCTGCATCAATGGGTCTTGTCCTGCATTTGCTTCGTCAGTAGTTCCTTTATTGCTACTGCAGTGCGCATGGAACATGCTGACTTGCCTTCGAAAACCCGATCGAAATCTCTCTAAGCAATCTCCAATATCCAATTCGATATCCCGTTGTAGAAATTCCAAGAACGCATCAGCATCTTCACCAGAGTTATGTATCCTCTCATTTAGAAGTGGAAATAAATGAATGTTCTCGAATGACTGCAATGTCTCGTCCATAGCCTCTGGGCTCATTCGCGAATAATTCACTCGCCGAGATACATGTTGCCCTTCGTGGCCTCCAAGCTTGATGAACAAGAATGCACTTCGCTCGAATTGTCCCAGGAGGTCCCATTGCCGTTGGTTCATCGTAAATGGTGAAACAACACTGACTCCGGGGATATGATTGCTGTGGACCGTTGTCGTAACTATTTTCTTATTAATCAAAGAAGGAATTTCTCTTTCTTTCGATCCGAGAGTCGCGTTACACGTGAAATCAGCACAGTCCTGTACTTCGCTGTCCCTCTCATCAAACGATTTGTTGTACATTAAATCGTGTATCTCTTGCCTAATCACACGGTCAGAAACTGCGCGCAAGGCGGGGTATCGCATCTCGATATCTCTGGCACCGCATATAAGGACGCGCACAGGGCAGTCTGGTTTAACAGGGTCAAAAATATTGATGGTGACCTACAATGAAAAGATTTTTCCATCGAAAATACATTTGATCTCCCATGTGCCCCGAAAATACAGAAGGGGCTTATCGACAGTGGTAGGTTCGTTTTCCATTGCGAGGTTTAATTATCAAGATAATATATTTGAAGCCGAGGCATAAGGAGGAAGTAATTCGAAACGAAAGAATAGATACTATCATCATTTTCTGACTTCTGGATTTTTTAAATAGTATTCCTAATTGCAGAAGTGCTCAAACCAAATCCAAAGGAGATCCCGAGGTGACCGTAAGTGCATTGATCTGTAACATACTACTGTACATTTTTAGCCACGCCCTTTCGATAGTTCCCCCGGACCTTGTTGAGATCCTCGCCTAGGCTTCCGTGCTCGAAATTTCCTCTTGGCATTCTATTAATGTAATTTTTGGTCCTGTACCGATGGATCACATCCACGGTATGTAGTGGTAATATCATGATCAGAAACCTAATCTCCAACTCTCGTACCGCTGGCCACCGGGATATATGCCCTCATACTTTCTGCCGCAAGGCTTGTGGATATCTTGATACGGAGGGAAGTAACAATCAATAGAGCTAGCTAAAGTAGTACAAGGAAATCAATGCTCGAAATATATACATCTCCAGTCAAGTTAATCATGATCATAAGAATGCTCATAGGATATGATGAGCTAGGAAAACAAAAGAAAGAGGGAAATCAATAATAAGCTGTTCATGACATGGGTCGCTTGCAAATATTGTAGTCTTCTAGTAACTCCAGGCCACATTTGGATTTCTGCAACATTCTTCCTTCTATCGTGAACCTCTCGGTCCGAAAGTAAGTAACTGTTTGCCCTCCTTCATCGATATCACACATGGTCACTTGGCGCACAATCTTGTAGTGGTCGCCAACTTGCTGCTCTATGTAGTGCCTTTGAAACGCGGGCCTTCCATTTATTTGAGACTTTCCGTCCTGTAGGATAGTCATTAACGGATCTATTAACAGGTTAGCCTATCAGTACCACACAAAACATGCACGTATAAACCTTTGGCTTTGCGTTGCCAGCCGAGACAAGCGAGATAGGACGAGATAGATGCAAGAAAGAGCTGCATAACTATAGCTGGTCATAAAAGAGTTGATGAAGATTGAGGCACATAGAAGCGAACCTACGCACTGAGAAGGCAGTGCAGTGCAATTAAATACATCCCCTTCATTATAAAATACAGCCTGGGCTAGCCGTAAAGCCAGTTATTAGTATCGATTTTAATATATATGTGTTAATGCAGATTATTGGCATCAAACTATGACAAATATCATCTAATGAACGTGGACGTAGGTAGACCGCAACTGAATCAGAATTAGGGCAGATACTCTGCTACGAGCGTGAGTTTTACACCTCTAGAACAGGGGCCATCCCATCGCGTCGATTGCCACGATGTATCAGACATGTTCACTAGTTTGTGGAAGGCCTATTTCGGATGATAGGTCTGTGCTCCAAGTTTATTGGGCGCGCGTCTTCCGCTGCAGACTCAATTCTGAATTGTTCCGCGCTAACCCAAAATGACTTATTTCATTCCCATGGGAATGAAATAAGTCATTTTGGGTTAGCGCGGGATTCGCCAGCCTTACCTTCTCCTTGACAGGGTATGGTTGCTGTTCTAACGCTCATAGCACCTCTGCTGGCAATGGGTACGAAAATCAGCAAACAAGTAGCAGAGAAAGTCATCGACGCTTGTGAAGAAGCAAATGGCGCGGATAGGCTCGACTCAATTCTTCTCGAAAGAGCTGAAGTAAGATCCCCCATTTGTTGTATAACAGGTTGCTAAAATCATTCAGTTTCAACAGCTCCTATTCGACCTTTGGAGTGAGATACCTCCTCAGCTGCAAAGGTCGATAACCGGTGTTACTCGAAAAGGACGCAAGCCCAATTCCGATTACGGTGATGGGAAGGCCAGAGAACATCGCGCTTTTAAGAGCTTATGGGCTGCATCAGGACCGAAGCTGGGTCAAGTTGCGAGAAGAACCCTTCGTCAAGGCTATAAGGAGCCCAGGACAATTCTTTACGACACAGCGAACAATGTAGATGCCGTCGAACATAACGTGGTAAATACTTATCTCAATTATATTTACCGCCTTGAAGAAAACCGTGAGCGTGATACGATTCGGTGGAGGCTTGGTTTGATTCCGCTGTCCAACCTAGCTGCCAAATTCACCAACAAGAATATGGATACGAGCGATTATGATATGGTTGCGCATCAGCTTACCTACTCCGGCCTCATCGTTCGTAACAACGAAGAGATCCGGAAGAAGCTCCCATCTTGGATAGGTGCTTCAAAAAGGTACAACAACATAGCCCAGTCCCTGAATGGTTCAGGTACCATATGTTGTCTGCCTGAAGAACCTGGTGACTCTTTGTAAGCTCCTTCTCCCGAAAATGACAACCTGTCTAACGTTAAAGATGGCAAAAACATCTGCCGATGAACGGTGCGGTTCACAACGTATGCATGCAACTTCTTACAGATGAAGGTATTGGGGAAATGGCAGCTAAGGACATATTTGCCGATGATGAAGGCCTAGGCAAAGTTACTGTCAATAACGCTGCAGAGAGGATCATCGAGTTCTTTTCTTCCCGCTTTCGTGACTTGGAGTTTATAAATTATCAGCCTCCACAGCCATTTGATGTGCTCGTGACAGCTGCAGGTAAAGGTGAACTCCCTTTGACCATGAAGCCCGTGTGATCTAACTAGCTCATAAGCCGTTGCCTGTCGAGAAGCTTCTAGCTCAGACTTAAATACAACACCTTCTGTCGCACTCCATGGTTCTGGAAGAAAGAAAAAGCGAGTGCGCAATTCTTATTCCACGCGCAAACGTCGGCGCACCGAACCTTCCAGTAGAAATCAGCTGACGTTCAGTTTCAAAAATTCCAATGTGTCTTCCAATGGCTACGTCGAAACAGAAAGACAAACATCCTATGAAACCGACAGCTTCCATAACTATACAAGATCAGAAATCTCACAGAAGGGCGTACTACAATGTCAAGATTCACAAGAGAGGGTCTCCGAACTGGAAGTATCGAATGAGGAGAGTTCAGTCGAATACTCTGCAGACAGAGCTATGCAAGGTATATCAGATCATATGTCTTTTTGAAATGAGGATGCGCCTGACTGTAAGCAGAATCGCTAGGCATCGAACCAGATATTGCCACCGTTCAATTCGACATACACCATATGCCTCTGACAATAGAGAGCACCCAGATCCCTTGTCTACATGCAAGATGTACTGGAGGTGAAGGACATGATCTTCATTCCCTATCTCTTCCCGGCAGTCAGCATTCCCCAGGATCGAACTCCTGCAATGCTACACCATCTAGCAATTACTCCCCCCAAAATGAGTGCCTGGGGAACACTTTAGACACAACGCAACGTAGCGCCACGGATTCAAGAGGTAACAGTTTTCTGGACTGGGAAAGGGACTTTATGATACCTTGGCTGGATTGGGAAAGAGATTATAATATGCCATGGCTAGACTGGGAGAAAGAGTTTGATTTACAATGGGAACAAATGGAAGGAAATTGATCTTCACCATAATATACATTTTTCACGCTGCAGTGAAGACTAGTAGCGGTCCAATCTCCCATCGCAATGTCAGCGATAAACGATGGTTAAAAACTTCCCTCCTCCTCCAGAAACGTGAGAATACACTAAGTTCCCGCTCCAAGCAACCGCATCACCCGCTCTAAGATTCAGGGATATGGCTTTTCCGAGCGGCGGTTTTCGTAGGTGAGAACCTTCATGAAAATTAAACCAGCCATTATGACTTCCCAGGTCCGTGACGGCAATAGTGACGTAGACCTCCTCTTTATTTGCGGTTTTTAGCTTCGATGGATCTGCTTCCGTTTCATGGAATACTCCCATGTTTATTGACCAAGGATGTTCGGGGAAAGAATTTAGGTGAAACAAAGACGCTAGCCGGCTCTTATCCACGTTCTATATCCACTTTAGTCTAACCCCATGCAAAAGGTCAGAGTTAAACCATACCTGCACAAACTCATCCTTGACCGCATATCCTGATGATGGAACCTCGTACTCATTAAACTTTTCTCGGCGCACGGTAGGTGTTGTTTTACACATGTTTGCGTCCATATCAGCAGCCAGTCTCTGTAAAAGCACACCAGATACCACATTTGGCAACAGGATGAAGCCCTGACTATCTGTCATTTCGCAATCGCCGATATATAGACGGAAATGTTGCAATAACGCTTTTCTAAAGTGTAAGATTGGTATACGCAATAAGTGTATGCGGGAGGCTCATGCGTTCAGACAGACAGCCTAAGGAGATTTCCATTATCAACATACGCTTCACTTTAAATGACCCGAACGGCATATTCCTCACTCACGTTTGCCTTTTTCAGGAACAGGAAAGTGACGAGAAGTCATAAGCGGTATGACTGAATCTGTCCGGACTAGTAGCGAATATAGATAAATACTGTCATTGAATACTGCTTAAGATAATTATTTCAGTCGGTTGTTCAACGGAGCTTTTGGAGGGGTAACTTGGCGGGGTCCTAGATGCCCAACCGCAGTGTTATTCCACCGGCACAAAGCACAGCCGGATCATTGTTCTTCCGCTAATGTTTATGGGCGATGTAGACAAAAACCGATCTACAACCATTTTGTGGAGAGGACTGGGCGACAGCTCGCCCCTTTGCTCTACACAAAGCGGGCAGATGAGGCGACCTATATCTGGACAGAACTACAGGAATCTGAACATGCGTGATTGAAAAGCAAAAAACCGAAATCCATATCATTATTATCATTTGTCAGGGCCTACAGGGAGCCTAAGGCTGCAACCATATGACTAAACACAACACCAAGGAACCTTTGTATGATAGATTTAGAGCTTAGTATCACCAATCCCACACATGAGCGACACCGGCTCTATCATCGTTATTATTTTTATCAAATTCCCAGGCTGTACGCGGCTATGGGCTGCATGTAGCCTTCTGAGCTAGCCCATCCTGACATAATCAGTTATACCGGTATAACGTAATTCCCGTACGAGCGGGCCACCTCTATATTCCATATAAAACAGCACTTTTGAAACTTTGGTATCTCAACAACTAGAGATAGTGGTAAAGCAAGGCATTTAATGATGTCCTTCCATGTGAGCTATCTGCACCCCAAGGCTTTTTCGGACCTACCAGCCTTAGTCCAAGAAAGAGGCATGAATCACATCGCGAGCACGGTTTTTGGTTGCTTGAAAGGGTAGGTAGGTTCATGTACGAGCAATGTCCAAAACAAAACAAGGAATCGCTAGGCCAATACTTTCTAGACTACCGTCACAGCGGATGTACAGTAGAAAGAGAAGAAGGCATCTGATAGCGGCCTCTTACTATCACAGAATGTTTTGGGGAGAACTCAGATCCCTTGCCCAACCACTAATGACTGTAGCTGCCCTGACTGTGTGGGTGGGTGGGAAGTTGGGGAATTGGATCAAATGCCAAAATAATCGCATTCAGGAGAAAAGTTGGAAAATCTTCGAAGTAAGGCTAGACATGAGCGTAATGTTGCCAAACACTGTACACCCGACACAGACATCTCTTCAAGGTCAATATAGTACTTCACGAATCATGCATTCAATGAAGGCGTGGGGCACCTTTTGGATGTGGCACGATTGGGGGGGCATCCCTTCTCACTTTATCGACTGAGCAACAGCTTCTGCAGCCTGGCATTGAGAACTACATTGATAGGGCCTGCCCAAGTCCTGCTAGCCGAGATATATTGACAAGCGCTACTTTGGAAACTGAAAGTAAGACAACGTGTGGTCCCGGCACAAGGATGAGGGCTAGAGCTTAGGGGACTCCATGATGGCGCTCGATAATTATATTTTGTTCATCCTTGTGCGACAACCCACCTCGGAGATTGGCAAGTTAAGAAAACAGGCCGTAAATACACCTAAACAACAATATCGTCTGCCATCTGAAAACGGCAGCTCGTGGCGGCTCTATTGGGACGTCGATGAGAAGAGCCAAGTGATGTTTTCGCCGTGCCTCCCTTTCTTTCTGTTATCATAAGTAGCAATAGCCCACCGTAACGTATAGCGACTATATGGGCATGATTTTTGCCATGCCATTCGGGAAGGTGGCCCGGTGTTCCCGCTCTCCTCCAGATAGGAGCAGCCGCAGGCATGCTAACAGGTGACTTTTTATTCCGATATGCAGAACTAATCTAGACTTGCCATTAAAATGGTCACATCTGATTCTATTCAGCCAGCACTTTGGGATCTTTACAAGCGTCTTTTAGAACTTCTCTCATCTGAACATATAGGTCTTTGGTCTCCTTCTCCCATCTCCCACCGTTTGGAAATACCACCTTCCGCAAGCGGTTGACCCAAGGGCCTAAGGGCTTATAAAAATCAGTAAAAAGGTCTTCCACCATGTGAAGGAAATCACCTTCATGGGCTACAGTTCCTTTTTTCAGTTCAGCCAGTTCTTCCATATCCACGTAATTCCATTTTTCGAACCTCCGCACAACCTTTTTCTTGGTGAGGGCAGGGTAGTGAATACAGATCCAGAAAATAACCCAGAAGAATGACTCCAAGTCATGCATGAATGAGTGCTTTTCCCCTAGGAGGAGCCCTATTGCCATAAAGGCTCTTGTTCCTGTTTTGCCTCTCGCTCCGGAAGGTTGTTCACGTCGCTCCCAAATAGCCAAGTCCAGGTCAATTAAAAATGCTGGCCAAGACGGATTACCTTCCTCGTCATTGATAATGAGGTTTCCAGTCGAGATGTCGCCCTGGAAAAGCCCGGCGTGCAAGTGCAACGACTCGTACCCTTCATACGTCAGGATTGAGAAAAATATCCAACGGATCACGTACCTTCTATACATCTCTCGAGTGCAGAAAGAATGACGACGCGAGATTTAGCTTTGTAGATAGGCACTCCGTAGTCGCGAACAATAACGCGTCTATGTACTCTATTTTCCAGGCTATGGGTATCTCTAACCGGGGAGCTAGAGCAGGAGCGCTTGGTAGATGGCAGAGCAGCTTCGAGATGGCTGGATGACCGCTTATGCCCAGCACTTCCGGCAGAGTGGCTCGCTTTTGATCCATCTGTTGAAGCGAATCCGATATAGGAGACATCAGAGCGCGGGAAACGATACTTCTTTGCGCGTGCCATATCAAGTCCTCTACGTACGGCAGCCTGAATATCGTCATTCTTACCGTTCACCTGTACAGTCCCGTGGTAGTAATACCTGGCCACATTAACCACTCCTTTCTGTGTCAGATCCCGCAAAAGCGCGCCTTCTTCCTCTCTTTCTGGGTATTGCCACGAATCCTTGATGACAAGGGGTGTCTTTGACTCATCTCCTTCACGGTAAGCTTTCCAACATATTGTAGCCCGACCAACAACACACGAGGCACGCCTCATACGTTCCTCAAGAATAAGACGCTCCGGCTGTCCATCACGTACAATCTGAATGTATCGATACCCCTCAGGAGAAGTGAGAATAGTAGGATCGTACCCCAATTGGTCACTGTCCATCTGAAGGAACCCCAGCATCGATACAATGAATCGGACAGGGTCTTTGTTGACATCGAAAGGCGTTGACGCGATGGCTCCAATACGATCAAACTCCCATAGTCGCAAAACAGTTCCACAAAGAGTAAAACCCAACACATAACGACGAGTGTCTTGGGCAGCAAAGACTTCCCTTGCATAACGTCCCAGATCTCGCCATGTGCTAGATGCTGTGTCCATCTTGGGATTGCGCTTCAGTTCACCAATCACTAGGATATGCGACCAAAGGGTGCTTTTATCGGCTGATTCTAGAGAAGGAATAAACCCAATATCCAGCTTCCGAGCAGCGGTAGACCCTTGAAGTGGCTGATGTGGCCAACCTAAAACCTTGCGATGATTTTTCGGGGCAAAAACATCTTCTGTTGCAATTTCGTAAAACCTTTCAACCTTTGCGACTAGCCAATCCAGGACCTGCTTTTCCTCTGCAGATTGAGGCCAGTCACGCCAGCCAGCTGTTTCCCTGTATAGAGGATCATCCCCCTCAATGAATCTATGGAAGACAGCAGTGCCAGCTTTCTCCAGATCTTTCACTCCTCCGAAGAAGGCCTCCTCAAATCCAGGTACATCCGTGTATATTGAGCCTAGTTCCTCCTTTAGCACAGGGTCTATGTCATCCCGACGTTCATGCGAATTCGAGATCATGCTTGTAGAACAGGAATACGGCGTTTGCTCGACGTAGGGTGGCGGCCTTGGGGGGGGCGTGGTTTCTGCCGCGGCTGCGTAGATTTTATCCCAAATGACCTCATCAGATTCTTTGTTGAATGCCGCGATTAATAAGGGCAGAAGTCGCTCCAGGTTGAATTCATCGGAGTTGATACTCGAGCTTAACCTGGATAAATCATTAAAAAGGTTTTTGTGGGCGCCAACCACTGGGGGCAAGGCGCGGGACGCGGGAAGGGCCTGCAATGCCAGTATTAGGCAGATGCATAGGTTCTGAAGGGCTAATTCACGGTTAGATACAGTCACTTGTCCTGAAAGAATAAGTACCATCATGATCAAGCTCGTGTACAGATTGGACGGAGCAAGGAAGGCCCGAACTTCTGCAAGTCATTACGAACTCGTCGCGGAATGCATTCAATCCGTCGCCTATAGGCCTAGATTCAATGATTTCCCTCTTAGACAGCAGAGCCATCCTGAATCTGGAGGGGAAAAAAATGAGGTGTGTTTCTGAAGTGTTCCTATGTCTGCAGTAAATTCATTGAAAAGAGCGAGGAGCGAGGCCCAAAGGGTCTCTGGAATAGGATAAAAGGCATGTAAATAAGATACATATCTGGATGTATCAAGTCTCCTATATATGACGCGCCGCTCGGAGCTTTGATTGCTTTGCAACAACCTCGGCGTCGGTCTCATATTTGTCCGCGAACACTAAAAATACGGAAATCCAAAGACACATGCATTAACGGAAGTTCAGCTAATAATCGATATAAGCCTAGCTAAATTGAAAATGACAATACTAGCGGCAGCCTCAGGCAAATTGGCCCGGGCGAACCTCTGATTCAAGTACGAGGTATTTGGTCGATGCGCAAATTGCCCTACATACCGTAGGTGGCTCAAACCGTGACAGATTAACAAAGGAACCAACTGAAGAGGAAGAGGGTGATCAAAATTTCAATTGTGCACGTAAACCTCGCGAAAGGAGTAGTCGAATTGTCACAGTGCGTACAGCTTCCTGGGCCATAGTTGATAGTGTTTTATTTCAGAGGAAGATTGGTTGTTGTTCATTACTTCTATAAACCTGAGGCTTATATACAAGTTAACATCGGACTGATTTCCAATCAATCTGAGCCTTATACGGAATCTAGTCCGTACCTGAATATCTACAGTCTACCTGGTCGAGCCTCAATTCACAACAGATAGAACCAAGTTGAAAATAACAACGTGGCATTGAAATGGACTGGATGTGTGCATGGCTCTATACAATGGACCACGTATGACGATACATAAGCTACAGCGTACACTCACATCCTGGGGTTAGAGGCTAGCGTAATCACATTCTATTTTTATAATGTTCCAGGCCAATTGATTACCCATTCTTAGACCATCCACCATATTTCCTACCAGCAACAGATACTCAACAACCAGAGAATACAAGCCACCACAGAGAACGAAGAAGCCAACCAGCTAGTTGCTAACATTTTCTGGCCCAAGCTTGCATTGATCCCAGCAGAATAGAACACAGATTTAAGGACACCGACAAGCGAGACATATACCCCCGTAACTGTTGCTGACCCTGCTATATTAGAAACCATCGATATCTAGATACGGTTAGCGCTTAAGGCCCACGTTCTTGGGCCTGAAGCTACATACCAATGCGCATATACTGACCAAGCAACTTCCCCAGTGGGAGACCATGGCCGTTAATCCCGTAATTAGGGTGAGTACAGTTGTGATAAGTGCGGTTATATAGGTGGCGCTTATTCCCTTCGATGCCACCTTATACACGCTCACTACCTTTTCGACTTGGCTAGGAAATATCTGTTCTGCCCATGAGCTCTCCAGCCCCAGTACTTCAGTAAAGTTGAACCAGAAGGACGAGCTTGGAGGTGTACATTTCCTGACGGTCGAACCAGTCTCATTGAAGCTCCCTTGGCAGTATCCCCAAAGCCCGATGATGTAGTATCCCTCTATATTAGATTCTATCTTAGCAAGTTTATCAGAAACATCCTGAGCCTGATTTTTTGCTTCATCTACCGCATTTCCCACCGCTCCCATCACACCATCAATGACGCTGTTGCCTGCATTCTGGGCAGTGTTGCTTGTATCCTGCAGTGTTGACGAAACATCTGAAGTAGACCCTGCTACCGCGGCTAAGGAATCATCAAAGACTGACCGTTGTGAGATGAGTCCCGTTAATTTCTTCTCCAGAGTTGATCCAAACCCCGTTAGGTTGGCCTGCACAGTCAATTGCTCGGTTCCATGCTTTCCGACGGAGTATTATGCACTGACCTTCATAAAATACAGTTCACTTTGAGGAGACGATGTGTGGGTACAGCCAATACCCACGAATATAAGACATATTAGGCTAGCAACTGAAAAAGCATAAGGCAAGACGACACATAGTGACTTTCTTGTCTTACCCATAAGTCATAAAAATCCCGCGCTCTGGTAACGAAGCTGGTATATTTGGCGCCCTAAGAAGCGAGTTACTAACAAGAAATACCTACAAGCAGCGTTTTGTATTTATCTCTTCATATATATTTATCCCCTAGGCGATGGTTGCTATAGTAGCTGATAGGTCTTCAAGCTATGGCTCTATTATCTTAGCACATCGTTAACCCTCACTAAATAACAGTTTCGAACAAGTGAGGCCTACAGGCCGGCTTTTAGATCCTGTAGGGCCATAAGAGAAAGACGGAATGTGTACAACAGGATATTTGTAAACATTCGCGTTCCATCTCTTTACACTAGGAGCATAAGACAGCAGCTTTTTCTTGTAGTTTTAGCTTACATTTGTAAGGGCATCCTGCATTGGGCATCCTTCGATTGCAGACGAAGATTCTATATCTACACCCCCTAATTTCTTCCCACCCGCTCTTCTTTATCCTATAGCAAATACTCGAAGCCGCTTGTCAGATACCACAGCAATATTCAGAATTAGCTTTTCTGGCTTAGTCCCGACCTCATCGTGGGCCATGATACTTTATTACAAGGACCTATATACCGATATATCGTATTGACTTTTTTTTTTACACTTACATTCTTAGCATACAGTTATTTACCTGTCATAGATTTACGAGTGTAATTTTGCACAGCCGCAATTGTGGCTTGAACTTTTCTTTTACAAAACAGAACACGATACAACGATGGAGCATAACGAGTCATTACACACCGTTTGTATCAGTCCTGTTAACTGCCTCCGCCAATGGGCAGTAAGATAGGTTGATTGTTCATACTCAGGTTATTCAGCGCCAATATTCGATTTCCGAGTCCGAATAACGATTTCCATGATGATTACCGACGATATGTCGTAGCCCTAGATATTTAACCTTTTTACCACCCAGAACACCAACTCTATTGTGTCCTAAGTACTGCGTAGCCATCTATGGCCATGTGTGCGATGAATAAAATGGTGCGCCAATTGCTTTTTAGATAGTGGTAGCGAATCTTCATCTCTCTCTGTGCTAGCGTCTGTTGTTAATAGAAAAAAATACCCGTATCTCGAACCTCTAGCAATTTATAATGGCATAAAGGGCAAAGCGCGTAAGGAACATCGACAGATGGTATTTGCCTATATAAACTCCTTTCCATCGATAAAAGCGGCAACTTCTCCGAGGTAAGTCTGGCAGTGAACATGCTGACAAGTAGCGTTGAAATTTATGTCGCGTAGGGTTACTATATTTACTTATGCCCCAGCCGTTCCTCGACTTCGCATAAGAAGATATCCCCTGTCCTTCCCCCGATACAGTCACCATAGTTCTTCTCAATGTAGGGCTCTGACTTACGAGGCCTCAAGAGCTGATTTGCTTTTATTGCAAGTAGCTAGCAAAATAAATTTAGGAAAGGCTCTACATACTAGCGAGGGGAGAACCGGGCATTAAAGCCGCCGTACGGAGGATATCTGATGTGAAGACGGAACAGCTAGGCCCGGAGGCCCAATATCCTATAAACAATTTTGAAGACTAAGTTGGATCATATGCTCTCTGACTTGATTTGATTTACACATGTAGAACTGTTAAGCCTGGACTTACGGGTGCCTTAGACAAGTAGGAAACTCTAGTGAAAGTATCACTAAGACATCAAACCAGTTACCTAAAAGCATCTCTTGTCAAAAATGAAACATGTCGGATGTTTTTAAATCTCTTTGCAGTACGCAAGTCTCTCTTGCAATGCGAATCCCACTGCGACAAGGGCCCATCAAAGTTCCTTCCGTATGAGCATTAGCGACTCTACGCCATACCATAAGTGACGTTTGGCTCTAGATGGACCCAGTGGTGGAAAGACCTGAGAATTAGGTGCTACATGTTACGGCGTTTAGAGATAGGTGACCATACGTATTCTCACGTTACGAGGGTTAGCTTAGAACGATTAATACAATCGCTGTTGGCTTTCTACTTCCAGAACAATAGTCCATATGTACCAAATCATCACATTGTGTAGCATGTCAACCAAGGAGCGGTAGAGTCCTCTTCACTGTATGGCTTAAGCTGATCAAGTTCGTATTTTACAGTGCAGACGATGTATTCACATGGAAAGAAATCACGATGATTAATTTATTTGAGATTAGAAGCCATTCAGTTAGGGACTGTGTATTAGTCGAAACTCTCAACGACGGCCATACACGTCGTTTACTCGTCATAAAGTGGACCTCAGTCGTAGATCTGGAGGCGTCCTTATGTTTATGCCCTCAGTTAATTGTTCGAGGGGTGGGCTTGGCGCTATGATTTTTAGTTAACCTGCGTCCGGAGTAGTCGGCTTAGCTGAGCAATCACGGATTGGTTCCAGAATTGATCCCGGGTCGCTCCGGCGCACTGGTTCAATGCTCCGGGAGTGCTCAGCACACGCACTCCTGTCTATCCCCACGCTCCGGGAGCAATCACTGAGCAAAAAGCGGCCCTGAGCTAGTCCCGTTCCGGAAAGGGAAAGCCCAAAGTTTCCGCAGGAAAACCGTTCGCTAGTAATACTAGTAATAGAGTAAGCTCTTAGCAAAAACTTAAGACGCCTCGATCAGTCTACTTGCGTGCTAGTGTGAAAATACCAGTGGGTTTATTCTTACCTCACCTGGAAGTTGTGCATGAACCGTGTTCATTTGTCGGTTTTCAAGAGTCTAGATCGGTGTTCGAATGGTTCAAGTGAGATTTATCTCGATCGTGTCGCTAACATGTAAACCAAATAAAAAGTATCCGCACGATAAACCCCAAGGCTTGTAAAACGGCAAAAGGAAACGCTCAAAGATACATCATAACGCCTAACCAACCAGCTGTCAAACCGTCATCTGCGGAGCCAACTTCTTCACAGTGCTATTTTTGAAGTTCTCCACAGCGTGCACTATATCATCCACTTTGGCTACCGCTCCAAAAATTCCACCTTCCATTTTGACCGATTCAATCGTGCTTGAATGAAGTGAAGGCTCACTGGCCGCCGTGCCGTCTTCTAAGACTACGCAGTCGAACCCTCGGTCGTTCGCCTCGCGCATAGTGGTAGACACACAGACATCGGTAGTTACTCCTGCAATTACCAGATTCTTGATGCCTTTATTCCGGAGAAGAAGCTCGAAGTCAGTGTGAGCAAATGCCCCACGACCAGGCTTATCGATGACTGGCTCCCCGGGAAGCGGATACAGTTCATCAACGGTGTCGTGGCCAACCTCACCCCGAATCAAGAGACGGCCCAATGGACCCGGGGACCCAATCCCAAATCCGGAATCGTTATTACGTGACCGGTATGCCTCTCTACTTGAGAGAGTTGAGAGATCGGGTCGGTGACCTAAAATGATAAGTACTGTAACGTACAAATTTGGGGGCTGTACATGATTACCATACCTTCACGTGTATGATAGACTGGAAACCCAGACGCTCGGAACGCATTCAGGAGATGTTGTAGCTTAGGGATAAGTGCATGGGCGGCTGATATATCGTAGCCTTGATATTCCATATAACCACCTGGCGAGCAGACTGTGATGTGTTTCGTTAGCGAGCGATATTCACAAGAGAATATATCGGGACGAGAGTGCATACAGTCCTTCTGCATATCGATAATCACTAACGCAGTCGTATATGGCGTTAAAGTCGCGTCGTGCGGCCAATCATACGGTGCCGCCGCGACTTGGCCCTTTCGAACCTTGTGATGAGGAGCTTGCCGGGGTTTCTCGACAACTGGGCCGTGATTATGTGTTGGGTTTAGAACGGTCAGCGTCCAAATGCCAGGAGTTCCTGCTGCGACCAGCATGAATGGACAGTCCATCAACCGCGACGTTCGCCGCCGTTTCCTCGTCTCCTCGGTGAGGCCGTTGCGCGGACGATAGTGTCCGCCCCGATCGCATCTGAGCCATACCTTCGCAGTCCGCCCGGGTTTCTTTTCAGTGGGAGTACTAGAAGACTTGACAACAACATTGTACCCGTGCGCTTTACCGTGTGCCTGCACTGATGCAAGAAGGGCTGGCCTTCGTATGTCACACAACATAAGTATACACCTCCACCATCATGCCAATGCGGGGATCTCCGCCGCCAAGCCAAATGGACGAACGAGTAGACTCACTTGTCAGGAAATGTTCCTTCAGGAGGTGGAAGGAGTTGCATTGACATCTCTGGAATGTCTTGAAGATCGCTGGGAGCGTCGAGATTCAAGTCGGTGGGGTCTGCCATGATAACAAACCGTGTGGATCTCTGTAGAATAGAGAGAGGAGGTCTGAAACGAAGTGTCAGCATTGTCGGCAAAGTCATACAAAGCGACAATGAAGCTTTCAGCGGAGGAAAAGAAAAACGGGGCATCATGAAGCACATAGGATGCTTGAACTAAATAAGTGCGTGGAAGCAATCCATAGTATAAGAAGTGAACCCGGAGCTGAATCGTGCGTGGACATAGCGAACGTTCTCTGGAGACAGCCGGGAGGCGGATCTCCAAGAGGACAATAGATTGTTGGTAAGGGGGGGAGGGTAGGTTAAAGGCAACAGGGACTGAGGGAGATAGAACCCGAGCTAGTCCGGGCGATGGGAGATGGGTTGAGGGACGAACAAACTCACCCGAGCACAATCCAAGTAGAAATCGATCTATCTTCAAACAGGCCCCAGACAAGCCAGAGGCATTCGATTGCCCCAGAGAGTCCGTCACTCACAGATCATCATCGGAAGACGCACAGCCGCAGGCGGTGGAATTGAATTGTCATGGTGCTAGACCCGATAGAGCTTAGTGGTATTGGTTGTTATGATTCTCCCGTATGGGCCCGTACTGTTGTCCCGTGGACACGGCCCAGCATCTGCTGCCCACTCATCTGGATAGCATCACCACCTTTACTTCATCCCCCCAAAACATTGCCCACGACCCTCTACCCTCTTGCCCCTCTGTGAGGGACGCTTACAGGTAAGTCAAGTTACTGAGACTGAAACAGTCTCAGTGAACCCTTTTTTTTTTCTTTTTCCTTTCTTTGTTTGTTTTTCTCTACTTCTACTTCTATTTCCTTTCCCGCCCGAACGTCTCTGTCGCAACCCGACTATCGCGACACCGCCTCGGCCCCTCCACAACTATAACGACCGGACACCCAGTTGTTAACACTGGCTCCTGTGAATGATCTCGGGCTGGGCTTGTGAAATATACTATACCATTCAACGCCTTGGTTGAGTGTGTATTCCTTCAGCAGTGGCATCTTTTGACGTGGTCTGCTGGAACGTGCGCCTCCTTCCCCGGCGTCAGTCGCCGGCGCGGAAATAATGCCATCGGCCGATGATTCCACCTCCTCTCGACCCAACGGGACCAGCTCGAGCCGGGATGAGCTCGCATACTATAAGAAACAGTATGAACAGCTAGAAGCAGAGTTGGCTGACTTTCAGTCCTCCAGCCGTGAGTTGGAAGCGGAGCTGGAGAAGGACATTGAGGCATCTGAAAAGCGGGAGCGTCAGTTGAAAGAGAAGGTGGACAACTTGAGATACGAGGTTGACGAGTGGAAGGTGAGCCCATATACTACCTTATTTAAGACCCTCTACAGTGGCCATTAAAAGTGCTAACCTGTCGCTCTATCGCAGACCAAGTACAAGCAGTCCAAATCAGAAGCCAACACCGCTCAGAATACCCTGCAGAAGGAAATAACAACACTACGAGATGCCAACCGGACTTTACAGTTAAAATTACGTGACATCGAAGTCGCGAACGACGACTATGAACGCCAGGCCCGTCATACGACTTCATCCCTGGAGGATTTGGAGTCGAAATACAACATGGCCATTGAGAGAAGCGTATTGCTAGAAGAGGAGATCAAGATTGGAGAACAGGAACGAGAGAATCTACGAATTGAGAACCAGCATCTTCGTACTGAATTGTCTGAGCTGAAGGTCGAAACCGAGATTGTACAGGAGAAACTCCGGAATGCGGAATCCCACGGTGGCCGACGCAGGAAGCCAGCTCCCTTGCACCGCACTCCCTCCACACCACAGACTCCAGAAATATTCGACCGTTCTCCAGGACTGTCGACTGTGTCATCTCCTATTTTTGCTACACCACCAATGAAGTCGTCACTAATAGCCGCGACTGCAACCCCGCCGTCGCCGCCGATATCCGAGTCGTCCACCAGTATGCGCAAGTCCATCAATGCGACTCCTGGGTTTCCTCGGCAGAAGGTGTCTGGTTCCGAGTCATATAGCTCTCGATCTTTGCATAGCTTCCCTCGGCAAAAGGCTTCCGGCTCCGAGTCATATAGCTCTCGATCTTTGCATGGATCCAGGACTCAGAAACTATCCCACGCCCACTCTCGCGCAACGTCATCGGCACACAGCAATGGCCGTTCGACTTCATCAGCTACTTCCCGCGCGAGCCTATCCAAGCCCAGCCCCGGTCTATCTAAGCCTAGCTCCAGTCTCTCCAGGCCCAGCCCCGGTTTCTCCAGGCCCAGTCCGAGCCTTTCTAAATCCACCAACAATAACAACAGCACTCGGTCGTCCGGGATGCCCAAGTCGGGCTCATTGTATCAAATTCGTGGTCTGATCGGCAAAATGCAGAAACTGGAAGAAAGGGTTCAGTCGGCCAAATCGAAACTCCCGGCACCCTCTGACTCACCGTCCCGCGTCTCTTCTCGCTCCGGGTCAATAGTTAGCGAGAGTCCTGTTGCCTCCACAATTACTGTTCGCAGGGAACCTCGTAAACGATTAAGTGGCAGCAGCTTTAGCTCCTCAATTCACGGCGACGGTGTCTCATCATATGTCTCGACCAGTCGACCATCATTTAACAGTCGGCCAAGCAGCCGCACGAGCTACTCAAGTTCGTTTAGCCACAGCACACACCCTAGTATTGCACCTTCGACTCGGCCTGAAAGTCGCCAGAGTCGGACCAAAACGCCACTGGGACATTATTCGACAAATCCAACCACTGAAAGTCGGCGGCCGCGGTCATCGCTTAGCAATCCGGCGGGACAAAATGTACCCATAAACGGCATGTCTCATATTGACGAAGACGAGGATCTCTCCATGCACATGTCTATGCGGGCAAAGATCAGTGAGGTCCGCGAAACTCGTCTTCCTTCGTTTTCCGCCCCCAACGGGCTTAAGAAGCGCACCCCCAGCGGAATTCCATCCATCCCTGCGCCTCGAAGCCTTCGCACTAGCACGGGACTTGATCGACGGGAGGGTCAAATGGGGCCGCCCGATCCGAAGACTAAGACCACTACCGATTTGGGCGAAACTTTCTAAGTCCCATGTGAATTTTTCACTACCTCTTCCTTCCATTGCCTACCCTTTAATACACATTAGGGCAACCTCCGAAGGGCGTCACGATTTCACGGCTGGTACGCGCGCTTGATATATTTCAGATTACCGTTCAGACTGCAATATCTTATTTATCTTTCTTTGTCCCTTCTATCATTTTTTTTATTTCCTAATCACTACCCTTTTTGCAAAAATGCAAGCTCCCACAAGGGATTTGGGTACAACGGGAGGACTTGTTTTTGGGCCAGTTGTTCATAGATTCAAGGATTCCCCTGGACATTACTGCTGCGATTATACCACATTTAGTCATCATAACCTGTACAGTCAGTCCCAGTGAAAGGCGGAGTTTGGCAGTGTATCCGGTTCGATGGCGCTTCGACTAACAGCCGGGGGTTTTCCTACAGGGAGCCCCATCGGCGTCCAAGCTGTGACTCAGCATTATTTTTCTTTTGATTGTATATTTCTTCTGTGTCGTTACAGTGTGCCCTAGGCGTTAGACAATACCCAGTTATAGTTTGATGAAACGGTCCTGTAAGCATAGTAGTTTGTCGTAGCTTTCACCAAACATGGCTTCTCCCCCACCCTTCTCTTTATATTTTATTATGAAGTATACAAAGTAGAAGCCCGCAGAGATACGACTTTGCGGTGAAAAGATAATGATCAACGGGATCAGGCAGTATCCACGGAATATTCATATACCGGATATTAGGTGCTATGACATGTTCATATATGGTGTTGGCAGTTTGCAAACGCGGCGATGGTTGACAGTTGATGTGTTCTATTCTGGTTACCTGACTACTAGCAGTACCTAGTGACAGAAAGGTGCCCCCGTTTTATATGGGCTGCATCACGTGGAGTTCGGGAATGTCACTAACGGAGAATAACCCTAGGGTGTTGCGCCAGGTACCGTACAGTTACATCTTCTCTGTTCTAGAACTTCACAAACGTCATTGCTGGTGGTGAACCTTTCTCTTAAAACCCATGTCTTCATTCCCTATTGTCAAATTGTGAGAAGCACCCAACATTTCCATAGGAGTGTGAGCGATATGAGGCCCCGAAGACCGAACTGTCGGGCTCCGTCGGTATTCGGAAGACAGGCCCCGGATAATACGTATTGGGCAAACATGAAGAACTAGTGGTCTAGTACTCCGTGCTCCGTACTCGTACAGAGGATATACTCTCCAGTTTTCTATTACCACTTCGCTTGAAAGAGCACCACGTCAGCGAATATGGTCCCGTGCTGCATGTAGGTTGAATCGTATTCCCTGATTTCTAGGAAGCATTTTTCTGTCACTTTTCTTAGTTCTTTTTTTTTTTCTTTTCTTTTCTTTTCTCGCCTTAGTCGTTTGAATACGTGACAAAAGTCTTCGTGCTATAAGTTTTTCCCCACCTCCCTGTATTGATTACTGAGGCGCGTCGGGATATGTATCCGTAGGGCGAAACGAAAGGGGTACTGCGAGGCGGCAAAATTAACATGTTAGTATAATCACTTGTACCAGGTCTGTTCATCAGGTTAAAAAATTATCGGGACGTGGCGATTTATATTGGTAACAAGGCACGTGCTGCCGTCTAGAACTGTAGGGGTATCGGAGTTGACCAATATCGTCTAATATACTAGCAATAAATCACTAGGGCTTGAACTCAGATCTGAAAGCCAATGCAACATAGGAGGACGGAGAGTATGTACAAGTGGCATACAAATGCCGAGACCCATGTTCTTCGCATTGGATGTTTAGCACGGACTTTTACAGGTTTTCTTGCCTGGCTAATTCATGACTCCGAGCTTGGAATTAACTCAATGGATACGCCTCTCTCCCTTCTAGTTTTACAATTTTTTTTTCTCTTTATCTGCTCTTCTCTTCTTTTCCTTTTCCTTCCCTTTTTAGGTGTTACTATCATGAGGCGGTGATGGTTTTGAGAGTGGTCTCCAAAGCTATATATCAGATGCACACTAAGATAAGGGCAAGAGTAATCACGATACGTTGATTGGCATCGGGTCTGGAATGGAGTCCTACTACCTAAAAACTTGGCTGGTACCAGGTAGCAATCATCTCCAGTTCCGCCGTGCACTTCGGGCAGCTGATTGGATCGCAGAGAATGTTGATGAAGGAAAGAAAAAGTGGTGGGAAGTAAACGTCATGGGGCCCAACAAGCGCATTGGGAAGAAGTTGGGGTGTCGTTCCCAAGTTGGCGCTGACCCACAGCTACTTTTTCTCTACTCAGGTTTCTTTACCTTAACCCTTTTTTGATTAGTGGTTCTCGACAACTGAACCTCTAGATACATTGAGAATAGAAAAGAAAAAAAAAATAAATAAATAAAATAAAAATTAAAAATAAATAAGGACGAGACTGAATATAACCCTTCTCCCCCCCTCTTCTCCTGCTTTCTACTCATACTCCGGACCTCTTTCACCTTTTTCTTCTTTATTCAATCCCTTACTATATTGTTGAGGTGGTAATTAGCGGTAAGATCTCCCGTACCTAACCTCCCTCACTACACTCGGTACAGAGACGGAGTACATACCTACGGTACATAGGTACTACGGAGTACTACCTTTAAGTTACCGTTCCGTACCTGGTTCCCTGCGCGGTTCCCAGAACTGCCACTTGCCGTTTGCGACGTTGCCCGCCCCAGGCCAGGCCAGGCCGCCCATCCATCCATTTCCATCCATGTCCTGGTTTTTTTTTTATTGCCCGTACTTCTCGCTCTTCGCACCCAGACTTGATTGCTGACATTACTTTCTCACCTCACAGTTAGGGGACCCCTCTCATCTTACTTTGTTACGGCCCCTTCTTCCTTCTGACGACTTCTTTTCTCTGACGCCGTGTGGAGGCTTATTTGCTTCTCCAGAGAGGGTCTTTTCTTACGTTATTCATATTCTAATCTCCCCTACTCAGCACGTGTACCACTACGATCCAGGCACTTCTACAGCTCTCTCTTCTCCCCGCTGATCACGCCCTGAGCTCTACCTCGATTATACCTCTACTCTTCTAGACATTTTACCTGGATATTTCGCATGGGAATTGTATAATCTATAATTCACTGATTTCATCATGGCCATCACCAACGGAACCTCGACGGCCCAATACAACCTTCCCTCACATTTTATCGGTGGTAACCACCTTGAAGCTGCAGCGCCGAGCAGTGTTAAAGACTTTGTGGCCAAGCATGGCGGTCATTCAGTAATTAGTTCGGTGAGAACAACCGACAATAGCCTGGAAAGTGTATTGGTAGGAAACATCTGAAGCTAATAAGATCGTCTTGTACAGGTTTTGATCGCCAACAATGGTATCGCAGCTGTGAAAGAAATCCGTTCGGTCCGGAAATGGGCCTACGAAACATTCGGCAATGAACGTGCGATTCAGTTTACGGTGATGGCAACGCCAGAAGATTTGCGGGCAAATGCCGATTATATCCGTATGGCGGACCAATATGTTGAGGTATGGAATGGTCGAAGGCTAGACATGCGATGATTGCGCTGACGGCGGACTGCTTAGGTTCCGGGGGGCACAAATAACAATAACTATGCGAACGTCGAGCTGATCGTTGATGTTGCCGAACGAATGGACGTCCACGCCGTGTGGGCCGGATGGGGTCATGCTTCTGAAAACCCCCGCTTACCTGAGTCTCTCGCTGCTTCTCCCAAGAAAATCCTTTTCATTGGACCACCGTCCTCGGCCATGCGCTCACTGGGTGATAAGATCTCGTCCACAATTGTCGCCCAACATGCTGGTGTGCCTTGCATCCCATGGTCCGGAACTGGTGTCGATGACGTGAAGGTCGACGACAAGGGCATTGTCACTGTTGATGATGAGGTCTACAACCGCGGTTGCACCTTCTCACCGGAGGAAGGTCTCCAGAAAGCCAAGGAAATTGGTTTCCCTGTGATGATCAAGGCATCCGAAGGTGGAGGAGGAAAGGGTATCCGTAAGGTTGAAAGTGAAGAGGACTTCGTTAACCTGTATAACGCCGCCGCGAATGAAATCCCTGGATCCCCGATTTTCATCATGAAGCTTGCTGGAAATGCCCGCCACTTGGAAGTTCAGCTGCTGGCCGATCAGTACGGCAACAACATCTCCTTGTTTGGCCGAGATTGCTCAGTCCAACGGCGACACCAGAAGATCATTGAAGAGGCCCCCGTAACAATCGCCAAGCCTACAACATTCCAGGCTATGGAGCGTGCAGCTGTCAGCCTGGGAAAGCTGGTTGGTTACGTGTCAGCCGGTACCGTGGAATATCTGTACTCGCATGCAGATGACAAGTTCTACTTCTTGGAGCTGAACCCGCGTCTCCAGGTCGAGCACCCTACAACTGAAATGGTTTCTGGTGTCAACCTCCCAGCTGCGCAACTTCAGATTGCTATGGGTATTCCCCTGCACCGGATTCGCGATATTCGCTTGCTTTATGGTGTGGACCCGAACACGTCTTCCGAGATTGATTTCGACTTCTCCAACGAAGAAAGCTACAAGACGCAGCGTCGCCCGCAACCTAAGGGACATACTACTGCTTGCCGTATCACCTCCGAAGATCCAGGCGAGGGTTTCAAGCCTTCCAGTGGTACCATGCACGAACTGAACTTCCGCAGTTCGTCCAATGTTTGGGGTTACTTCTCTGTCGGTACCGCTGGAGGTATTCACAGTTTCTCAGACAGTCAGTTCGGTCATATCTTCGCCTATGGTGAGAATCGGTCTGCTTCACGGAAACACATGGTTATCGCTTTGAAGGAATTGAGTATCCGTGGTGATTTCCGGACGACTGTCGAGTACTTGATTAAGCTACTGGAAACCCCTGCATTCGAGGACAACACAATAACGACTGGATGGCTTGATCAGCTGATCACCAACAAGCTCACTGCTGAACGCCCTGATCCCATTGTTGCCGTGTTGTGTGGTGCGGTTACTAAGGCACACCAGGCCAGCGAAGCAGGTGTGGAGGAGTATCGGAAGGGCCTCGAGAAGGGTCAAGTGCCCTCGAAGGACGTCTTGAAGACCGTTTTCCCTGTTGATTTCATTTACGAAGGTCTGCGCTACAAGTTCACCGCCACTAGGGCAAGCTTGGACAGTTACCACCTGTTCATCAATGGATCTAAATGCTCTGTCGGCGTCCGTGCGCTGGCCGATGGTGGCTTGCTAGTCCTCCTCAACGGTCGCAGTCACAACGTCTACTGGAAGGAGGAAGCGGCTGCGACGCGCCTCAGTGTCGACGGTAAGACCTGCCTGCTAGAGCAAGAGAACGACCCGACACAGCTCCGCACGCCATCTCCCGGAAAGCTCGTCAAGTTCACTGTTGAGAATGGTGAACATGTCCGGGCTGGTCAGGCCTTCGCTGAGGTTGAGGTGATGAAGATGTACATGCCTTTGATCGCTCAGGAAGACGGAATTGTCCAATTGATCAAGCAGCCTGGTGCTACTTTGGAGGCCGGTGATATCCTCGGTATCCTCGCCTTAGATGATCCTTCCCGTGTCAAACATGCCCAACCGTTCACCGGGCAGTTGCCGGATCTTGGCCCCCCCCAGGTTGTAG